TTTGCTGTATCTGCCTGTCCCCCGCTCTCCGCGACACGTTGAGGCCGGCTCGGCCGGGGTGAAAGTGCACCTGTGAACCTGTAGTCTGGCAAAGCGTCCCACAGCCGTGCTTGTCGTGCGCATGATGCCCATGCCCGCAACGCACGCGTCAGCGATGGCCCAAGCGCGGTGCCGCTCTTGAGCCGCGCGTGTCCAGCGTGCAATGACCTACTTGCAGGGCTCCTGAAGAAGCCCGTGTTGCTGCCAGTGAGCTGAAGCCACTGGCCATAGCGTCCCACAGTGTGCTGCCTGTGCTGCCTGCGATGCGCACGGTGCATGCACTGAAACACTTTGCAGCGCCTGTGAGCTGCCAAGGCTCCTACGAATGAGGTGTCCATTAGTGCCCGTGATCCTGTGGTCCTGCTGTGGTGAACCTGATGCCTGTCGTGCCCGTGAGCCCGTGGTGCCCGTGGTGCCCGTGAGTGATGCCCGTGTTGCCCGTGTGCCCGTGAAGCCCGTGGTCCTTAATCGGCATTTGAGTTGCTGACAGACAACTCTCCCCGATTTTAAAGGCTGGCTGCCCTGCGCAGATGAATCAAAGCGCAGCATGAGTTGCGTGGAGGAGATGATGTCGGAAGCCATTCCAGGTACAGAAGTTCTGGCTTTCCTCAGCATCAAACCGGTGATCTGTAAAAGCTCTCAACGTCCGGCTGCGATCCTGACGATTTACGCGGGAGGCGTGACTAGGATTGGGACAAATGCATTCGCAGGTTGCATCTCATTGGCAAGAGTGACTGTGATAGGAACGGGTGTCCTTTTATGGTTTGTTGCTCACTGGCAAGCATGGCCATCCCAGACTCTGTGACTGTGATAGGAGGTGGCGCCTTCTGGCCATCCCCAATTCTGCCACTGAGATCGGACCGGTCGCCTTCAAAGGCTGCAGCTCATTGGCAACTGTGATCATCCCCGACTCCGTTTCAGAAATCGGTCATGATGCTTTCGCAGGCTGTAGCTACATTTTGGCAGAGCGACTTCGTTGCAAAGCGCAACGAAGTAGGTAAAACGTTTGTCTGAGCCGCGCGCCTTGCTGCGGAGGAAGAACGGAACGGAGCAAAACAGGTCTTTGTGTCTCTCTGATGTGAGCGGCATAGAATGAACCTGAATTGCTAAGTGCATGACCTGCCGGCTTATAAAGGAATTGGGTGACCCTCTCAAACTGGAACGTATAGGTGAACCGGAACGTCGGCCTGAAGCATGGCTGAGTTGTTGTGAAAGTGCAATCCTTTCTCCGTTGGTCAAGGAAGCGACCGAGCCAGTGGTGAACACACTGTGCAGCGGCTGTTTGATGGATCAGTCATCACATCAACTCAGCTGCAGCGCGTGAGCGGTCAATGTTCAAACTCATTTACCGCAAAGTGGATGCCGGCCAGTGCCAATTTTCAAATTGCAACGAGTTGCTTCACTGGCAAGAGGGATAACAAGATGGTGGCTCGTCCAGCGGTTGTTCAACACCAGTTGGGCAACGTTGAAGCGAGTTTGCTCCAGTTGGGGTGTGGCGTTGCAATCGGAAGTGTGGGCATCCCTGTTGCTATGTGTTGAAATTGCACAAGTCAGATTGTTTTGCACTGTTGCCCTTTCAGCTTGCCCGTGGCCAACAAAATAAAAATGGTCCCTTCCCTGAAGGTCGCGGTTTTAATGAGAGCCGCGGATCAACAAACCTAGCTTTGGTGCATCTTGCTTGGATGTTAGGACTTTGACTTTTTGCCAACTCATTGGTTTTGTTGCCATTAAACCACTAAAAGTTATTCGCTTCTAGCAGGGGAGCAGATTCAGCAAGGGGTCGCCTCCAGAATTTTTTTCCATCCGAGGTGCACGGGTCTTCTCGCAAGATGTTTTCTACCCGGAGTCTCCCTCAGGACCCGAAATGAAAATGGGCCCATGACCAACCTGGAGTTTTGGGTAATGACCGACCATGTTTTAAGGGTCCTTAGGGAGACTCCAGGGAGTCATTTCCCACATGCTTTGGGGCTGGGCCTGGTGCGATTGAAGATTGCAGCTCGTCGGAGTCGTGACTGTGCGAGAATTTGCCTTCCAAGGTTGTGGCTAAGCGTGTCCATCCCTGACTGCGTGATTCAGTGATAGGAGGCGGTGCCTTCAAAGGCTGCAGCTCTTTGGCAGTGGCCATCAATTCTGTGGCTAAGATTGGAACAGCCTTCGAAGGTTGCAGCTCACAGCGTGAGTATCCCCTGCTCTGTTTCCGAAGTCGGACATCATGCTTTTGCAGGCTGTAGCAACGATTTGCCGTTCCGACTTCGTTGCAAAGCTTTAGTGCGCAATGTCTTAGTGCAATCGGTGCCATGGGGTAGGCTGGAAAGTCTCTGGCGCACCTGGACAACCATTTGGCAAGATGTCCTTTTGTTTGTTGCTCGTTTGGGGGGGGCAAATGTAGTCAGAGAAAGCTTTGGACGAGCCTTGGGGCGTGGCTTGCGCCGCTTGCGCCTTCGCAGGTTGCAGATTGACAAGTGCGTCCATCCCTGTTACTCTCGGACGTCGTGCCTTCGGGTTGCGGCTTGGCAAGAGTTGCCATCAATTCTGTTTGCAGAGAGTTGCTTCTCAGATCGGTCGTAGCGTGACCATCTCAAGCCTGACTGAGCGTGACCATCGCCAGGATCGGACAAGATGGCTTGACAGACCGGCCTTTGCTGCGTCTTTGCAGACGCCCACGACCGTTGGGTTTTGGCACCTCGGGCATGACCAAAATCATCCAAGCGGATCAGAGGCCAGCAGCTTGGGACAACCAAAACGAGGGGCCTAAGGCCATCTTTGTCCGAGCTGCGTGCCCAGAAAAGAAGGGCTTCTGCGAACTGTTGTTCAGGGGCACCAATCCTTTTCCCCGTTTTTGGGTGGCTGCCGCATCGAAAATGGTCTTCCCCAAAAAGAGTTCCCCTTTTTTTCCAGGGTCACTGAACAACTGAGACTGTGATATGAGCGACTGTGATATGGGTGTGGGTCAAAATTAAACCACCAGGAGACCACAGGTTTTAGTCCTTGGTTCCATTTGCCAGGGTTCCATTTTGGGCACCCATGTTTGACCCACAGCCACATGAGCGGCCAAACGCTTCAGCATCGCACGCGGCAAAGTGGATGACATGGAAGCCACCTTGGTGACGCAAAACGGTGTGGACTTTTCTTGGTTGGCTAGGTCCCCGAGCTAGGTGCCCTTTCTAACCCCTTTTTTGGGGGAGGGTTCCCCTACTAAAATAGACTACAGAAAAATGGGTACCCTTATCCTAAGCTCAAACTACTGGAGGACCTAGTTGGTCACAGGCCAAGTGCGACTAAATTTGCATGGGACACTTGAATACCTAAAAGGTTTCTCCAGTGCATTTGTCCCCCCGTTGGCTGAAAACGCACAAATCTCAGTCCTTCGGTCTAAAACCATATCTTTTTCACAGTGTCGATTCACATTTTGTTGGAAACACGGTCTTGGAAAGTTGCCGTTCGGTCGGGGATTGTCGCCATTTTGCTGAGGGAAAGTCGCCGTAGAGTAAGTGAAAGACGTCAAAAAAGTGCCTGGAGTCGCAGAAAGGGCCGTTTCTCTGAAAAAGGCAGCTTTTCACAAAAAGGCAAATATTCACTTTGGAAGATCCATGGCTAATCGAGGGACCCATCTAGAAGGTCAAGGGGGGGGGGGGGGGTCGGAAATTGGGTTCGAGTGGTGATACCATTTTCATGGGATACCTTGGTATCGTAAGGGCTATTTCCCACATGGGGCAAATTTGCTTCTAGGTGACCAGGAGTCGCAGATTTGGGGTCCCCCAATTTCAAGTGCTTGCCTTCAGGGATGCAGTACCTTTACCTTGGTCAGCAACTCATTGACAAGCGTGACCGTTCTCTACAAATGACTGGGTTAACCCCATTATAAGCGGGCTGTAACGGGTGGCTAACCACTTGCTTGCCATTCTTTCAATGGGAGTTGAACCCTAGGGTTGATGGTAATTAAGTGTCAAAATAGTCAAAATGGCGGTCCTTTCGGCTACTAACCTGAAAAGGTACCCCCTCAAAAACACACAAACTGATACCGGATTAATGGTCGCGCTGAGGTTGTATGTCGGCATCAAACGTGGATTACAACCCAGGTGGCGTTGTCCATACTAACTCGGCCCAATTTTAGTCTATTTTTGTGGGGATTGGGATGTTCACAGGGGTACGGGTTTTTGACCCATGGTCACGAAAAGAGTTGCTCCTGCGGAATTCGTTGCTTGACCCTGAAATTCAGGTAGCCGAAGCAAAGGGGGTTAAAACCACCACATCCCTTTCTTGGGGTGGCTTTCATGTCCATTCTCAACCCAGGGATCCGGATCTTTCTCGAAAACCACCTTTAAAACCCTGGGGAAAAATGGCGATCGGTAAAGAAAAAAACGATGGCTGAAAAGAATGGACAAGGAGTCAACCCCTAGATGAGCTGCTTTAGATTGGTTTGGATTTGGATCCGGATCTGGTTTCCTGGTTATAAGATAGATGAGCAACACCATCAGCTTGCCGATCGGCTCCATGTGGGTCTCTCTATTTTGATAGCCTTTCTGGGACAAGGAATCAACCCCTAGACCCTTACCAAGGGTTGGTCTGAAAGCTTGTTTCCATTTTTATTTATTTGTTTTTTTTTGGGGGGCGCCATTTTTGGGTCGATTTGGAAGGGAAGCCAAAAAATGGCGGCTTTTCTTTTGTGACGCTTCTTTTGTGAATCATACCCTAGAAGAAGGACACACTGGCAACCAGCTGGTTTCAAATGGTTTCCCCTGGGTACTTACTGTGAATGGACCAAAACCACAGGCATCAAGCGGGATTGGTGGACTCGTGATCCAAATCCGCTAGCAACAAAAGCAAAGACGCCAACACAAATCAGAAACAATGAGGACAAACGTTAAGAAAAAGCGGCCAAAAATCAACAAAAGACATGGACAAACGTAAAACACAAAAAAATCCGACCTCAAAAAGTGATGGTCCCCTTTGAGCCCCAGGCAGACCTTCTCCGCGGTGGCGCTAATTGCGGCGCACTACGACCTGGACCCCGTGGAGCCTTTGGTCTCAAGGCGGATGGAGCGGTGCGATGGGCACGTGCCGCAACCAGATTCCGCCGCCTTTGGTTCTTTTTCTTGGGGAAAGCCGGGGTTCAGCTTGGGATCAGATTCTGACCTTTGCTTTCTTTTCCTTTGGGGAAGGTGTTTTTGTTGGTGCCTCTTTTTGGGGGGAAGGGGTTTTTGTTGATCCTTGTTTTTGGGAGAGTGTTGTGTTTGATCCTTTTTTGGGAGAAGGGTTTTGTTTATCCTTTTTGTTGGGAAGGATGTTGTTAGTTCCTTCTGTTTCGGGAAGGGTTTTTGTTGGTTCCTTTTTTTTGAGGATGGGTTTTTGGGGTTCCTTTTTTTTGGGAGGGTTTTCTTTTGCTTCCTTTTGTCGAGAAGGGTTTGTTTAGTTCTTGTTTGGGGGGGGGAATGGTTCTTTGGTTCCTTTTTTGGGGGGAAGGGTTTTGTTGGTTCCTTTTTTGGGGAAGGCTTCCCCTGTAAAGTATAAAGTAAGGGGGAAGGGTTCCGATTCCTTTAAAGTCAACCAACCAAAAAGGATGTTGATTTGTTCGCATGGAAATCCACTGGGCATCTCAAGGAATGAGTTGGCAACCTGGGGATTCCCGAAAGAAAACCATTCGTCATGTTTGAGGGTATCCCCGTTTCGTAGTTTCAAAAAGGAAACCAGCATGAACACCCACAATGTTGGGGGGTCACCTAAAGGAAACCACCAGTTGGATGCTCATTCCCTGAGAACCAGCTGCTGGCCTTGAATGGGTTGTTTGCGGTTCAGTTACCATTCAAAGATTGGGTGAAAACTTACCTGGACCCTCAAACTACCCATAAGAAAGGGAGTTCACCAGCCATAATTTTGGGTTAAGTTGGAATTTTGAGGGTCCAGTTGACCACTACTGTTTTCCGGCCAGCAGTTTCCTCTTCTAAATTGGGTCGTCCTGGTTGCCCGTCTTTTAGTGGGGTCGAATCGGTCGACTCGGAATTTTGGTTCCTGGAGGACAACTCCGCCGAGATGCCGCCGAATCGGAACTCTCGAATTTCGAACCCCAAACAACTTGGTTTGAGTTCCTGGGCTGTAGTCGCTTTGTTGCTTGAACCATTTTAGTGTTTTTTTTTTTTTTTTTTACTAAAACAAATGAGCTTGCCTAGATAGCCAAGTCGCGATCGCATTTTGAAGTCACTGTTGCGATCGGCTTTTGGGGTAACGTGCATGGAAAGAACGGATCGCAACTGTCGATCCAGGTGGACTTTTGGCCACTCAATCGGAAGTGAGAGATTTTGAGGGTGGTTGAGTCATTTTGGGCTCACTCCAAGTTGTGCCAATTCCAAGATCTTTCGCACTGAACATTACCGTTTTGGACCCTTGGGGGTGGGAGAGGGATCGGATTCCTTTTCTCAGCTTGCCCCTACTTGGTGGTTTGGATTGGTGGCTTGGATTTGGATTTGAAGCCCACTGAACGTCCAAACCGCCAAACCAAACCACCAATTTAAAGTTTTGGGGGGGTTCGGGATCAGTCGCTGACGGAGAGGTCGCTTCGGCTTCGGCGTGAAGCATGTGATTTCACGGGTGTGTCTTCGTTTTGAGGGAAGCTGTTGTTGTTGTGTTAGTTTTTTTTGTTTTTTTTTGGGGGGTGTTCAAAGGGAGACCAAAGGAAAACAATATTGTTTCTTGTTTTTTTTCTTCGCGGGGGGGCCGGGGGGGGCGGGAGTGGGGGTTCGGGGGGGGGGGGGGGTGATTTTGACTCGCAAACCTGGTCATGGTTCGTCATGGGAAGCTCCTTTTTTCGGCAGCTGGGCATGGTCATGGACCACTGCGGGAGTTAAGACAAGCATACAGCAAGATTACTCAGCCCAAGGGTTCAAGCCCCTAAGAGAATGGCCTTGGGACCCAATTTGGATGATGAAGCTGAGGTAAATAGGGTTGGTTGTATTTACCTTTGCTTCAGAGGTGGTTTGAACGGGTCAGGGAGCTAGGGCGTCAGTTTACCCATGGAGAGATTGACGTAGAAATGGCGGCGTCTTTGTAGGCAATTGTTCTGCGAAGGCGGCGCAAATACTACCAGGCCCCACAGTGCCACATGCTTAACCACCAGCACCTTCCGATGTCACATGGTATCTAGCCATGCCTAGCCGAAGCCCAATTTGAACGAACCACAAATTCAAGCAAACCTCAGTGTAATCCAAACACCCCAAACTCTTCACATTCTAGGTCCCCCAGTAGTGCCCTTTTACCCTTTTTTTGGGGAGGGTTCCCCTACTAAAATAGAATACAGAAAAAAGTTGGCACCCTTATTCCAACCTCTCTACTGGAGGACCTAGCATCAAGCCTCACGTCAAAGTTTCTTTGAGCTGTTTTCATTGAGCTGGACCCTCTCGACATGGAACTTTAAGCCACTCAGATTGTCAACTCCATGAGTGAGGAGAGACAACCACTCACTTCCCGAGTTCCTGGACTTTAGTCACTTTTTAGGAAGACCATTTTGGTGGTACACAGAAAGTTCGGACTTTTTTAGGGCCAATCCCAATCAGCAAGTGAGACCAAACGCTGAGGCGGCTCCTTCTGAAGAGAGTCATACTGTGGATGGACGAAATTCATTTCGCACCACCTGAGAAACCATTGGAAGCCATTATCTGTTGGAATTCAGGAGACTCAAATCATTCCGTTGGGTTTCTTAGGTGGTGCCTAAGAGGATTTTGCAACCATCCATAGTATCATAAAGTGGTCGTCAGATCTTCAATGCCAGGGAGGATGCCTTCGATGTTCTTTTGGTCAGCGACGCCAAGAGTGTTTTTGGGTTGAGGCGATTTGGCTCGGGCTCAGGGTTCCGTTTTTTTTTTTTTACTACCCCCAGGTAGACTTAAACCCAGGGAGTCCCTTTTGGGGAAAGCAACTAGCACAGGATTGTCCACTTTGGGGTTGTCGAAAAATGGAACCCTGTTTGGTCTTGTTTGAAAGAAACGCAACGAGGAAATCATCTTTTGGGAAAACCAAGGAAGAACAATCTCTCTTTCGTTTTTGGGTTTTCCTTGTTCTTTGTTGCGGGGGGGAGTGGTCCTCTTCTTTTCCCCCCAGCGAGACCTCCGCTCCCTCCGACATCCGCGCAACTTGATCGCTCGCTGGTAAAAGCGCCTTTTTGGAGGCTCACGGAGTCTCAGGCGGTGCCCTTTTGGCGCCTTGGCTGCTGTTGGATTGAAAAAATAGACCCTTCCATTTGTTTTAGAATATTTGTTTATTTTCCCCTGTTGGCTTTAAAGGGAATCTATGACTACTGGACATATGTGTTTTTCTTCTTTTTTTCCAGGGGGCTTAAGCAAATGAAAGTACCTCTACTTGGGTCTGTTCTGTTTTATGTTCCTTTGGTTTCCCTTTGAAAGCCACACAAAGGGGGGGTTTCCTCAATTTGCCTTGTTGGACTCTCCAAAAGCGTCAATCGTTTCAACGGAAACCGCCGGAACATGTGAAGGGGAAATCCGGTGACCAACCTTTAATTGCAGGTAACCCCTTATTTAGGTGTTTGGATTGGTGATTGGGGGAGTTGAACCCTGGATCTTGTAAAAAGTAAATTGGGAACTACCCATTAATCCGCGAACCACTATTCCAAAACCACCAATGTGTAAGAAGCTGATAGCTTGGCAAATATAGATTTTCCCACCGACCCACAAAACGTGCTTAACTTCAACTTAGCAAAATGTGTGTTTTCCCACGAACCCAACAAACATACAATGTGTCCTTAAACCCAACACACATACAATGTGTCCTTATAAGATTGAAATCATCGCGTTGTTTCCCCAACCTTCCAAACATGTTTTCCAATTTTGGCGTCTCCTTCATTTTCGCGAGGCACCACCCCCCTAAAAAAAAGGGAGATAAGACTTGGCGCCGATTTAAAAAGCCACCACACCAACAACAGCACCAAGTCTCCCCCAAGAAAACTGACGCCTTTCGCCGCCACCGTCACGTCACCAAGTCTCTCGTCACGCGGATAACAAGATTTGATTCGCCAATGCCTACGTGCCTACCAATCCAAGTGGTGTATAGCCATGTTAGTTGCCATGTTGGACTACGTAGCGGTAGAGCCCATGTACAATTCTCAGGCTCAAAACCACCATGTACAAGGCAGCGTTCAGGTGTATAATGTAGGGATCCCTGAAAAGACACGACGCCGCCGCCGCCGTCGCCACGCGGCGAAAGGTTCATCCACGCGGAGAATGACAACGTGTGCCCCTTCGAGGACATGGAGCAGCTCGTGAAGCTCTTGAGCCTCGCTTTGAAGAGAGCGCGAGCGAGAACGCGGGCGAGGGAAAGACGGCGGATGGTTGCGAAATGTTCATTTCGCACCACCTAAGAAACCCTGGCTTTTGATGAATTTCCTGTAAATGCCAACAAATTATGTGGACCCCATATTTTGGTCCAGCCCCAGTTTATTTCTGGATGGGGTGCCTTGTTTCTTGGACCCCCGACCCAGATTTTGTGGGGCCCCAAAAGCCCTAAGTATAACGTGGTCAAAAAGGCCGGTCCCGGTGTCATAGAAAATTCAACCAACCTGTTTATTTGATGGGGTGCTTCTCCCTGGATGAAAGCTGGGGAATCAGACCACATTTGGGGCCAAAAACCACCCCCCTATTAATAAACGTCCATTTGGTTAAGAATAGTATTGTTTTTTTCCCCCTGTTGGTTTTAAAGGGAATCTATCACTACTGGAAGTATGCCTATTTTTTCCAGGGGACTTAAGCAAATGGAGGTTCTAGTGGTAAATAGAACGTTTAGACTTTCTTTGGGCCATCCACTGGCGAAGCTACTATTCCCTGCAGTTCCACCGATTCCCATTCAAAGAATGGCCAAAGGGGACCCACTTTGGATGAGTTACTCCTGAACGGAAAATAATGGTTATATTACCACCCCTTGGATTGACTGGGAATTGAACCGCAGGGTATTGGGTTTGTTCTCAACCCGACTGCTATTGTTGTGGAGTCTCATCCGGGGGGCCATGTGGGCACAAGGATAACCGAGGAAGCATGGCCCATTGTTAACCAGGTCAACCCGAAAAGAAACCAAAAACAGCCCCAAAACAGCCAAAAAGGACACACAACAGCACCAAAAACAGCCACAAAAACAGCGCCTACGTTCTACAACCAGGTCAACCCAAGAAGAAACCAAAAACAGCCCCAAAACAGCCAAAAAGGACTAAACACAGCCCCAAAAACAGCCCCAAAAAACAGCCTCAAAAACAGCCCCAAAACAGCCCCTACAAAGGGCCGCACAGTACTGTTGATGGACGAAATCCTGCACCACGTTGAAACCATTGGAAACATTCTTCGTTGGTATGTACAGGAAATCATCAAAAGCCAGGGTTTCTGAGGTGCGCAATGGATTTCGTCCACAGTATGTTCTACAACCAGGTCAGCCCAAAGAAACGTCTAGGTTCGACCAAAACACCCCCCCCGCCCCAAAAAAAAGAAAAAAGAAAAGCAAAAACAGACCCCCCCCAAAAAAAAAATGAGAAAAAAAACAGCCCCAAAAACAGCCGCCCCAAAAGCTGGCCCTTTCGACCAACACCGCCCCCCCCCATCCTCGTCTCAGGAGGTCGCGGTCCAGTGCCGAGGTGCGGCTCACGAGCTTCGAGGCGCGGCCGGGCTCGTTGGTTGGCTGAAGCGGGCGGATCTCGACTCGACTCCGTTGCGGGGGGGGGAGGGGGGGGGGGGAGGGGGGTGGGGGGGGGCGGGCGGGCGTTTTTTTTTATGGGACCTCCGAAAAACATGGCGGAATTGTTGCTCTTAAGGAACCTCGCACTTTTCAGGTTTGGGAATAGCAGATGTTCAAACACCAGCCCCTTTCGATGTGTTGTTTGCCCCTTTCTTCTTGAACAGCCCTGAAAACACGGCGGATTCTTTGGCTGTTAAGGAACCTCCTGGGGGTGTTTTGGCTTTTTGGGACCCCGAAACATGGTGGCTCCCAGCCGGCCGGTTCCTTAGCTTTTTGAGCTTTAGTGGTAGTTTCCATCTAACCCACTAGTGTTTTGTTTTTTGGTTTTTAACACCCCGACAAACAGGGCTTATTTTTGCTCTTCTAGGTCCCCCAGCTAGGTGTCCTTTCTCACCGTTTCTTTTTTAGTTGGGAGGGTTCCCCTACTGAAATAGACTACAGAAAAAAGTTGGTACCAACTTATTCTAGCCTCTCCACTGGAGGACCTAGTGTTGTAGGACATCCGAAAAACATTACGGATTTCTGCTCTTAAGGAACCTCGCACTCTTTTGGGTTTGGGAACAGCAGATGTTCAAACACCAGGCCCCTTTCGATGTGTTTTTTGCCCCTTTCTTCTTGAACCGCCCTGAAAGGACATTTAAACTGCCAAGTTCTTCAAACACTTGCATTTGCTTGACTTGGTGAATCCCAGCCGTCCCCTGCTGTTTTTTTGTTTAGGTTTTTAGCTTTTAGTGGTAGTTTCCGCTAAGGGGCTCAAAAGGTCAGACTGTTGGCAGGGAATCTAGGAACAGCCCCATCAAGAATATGGAATCTATGTTCCTTTGTTGGTTTTAGAGGGAATCGATTTCACTACTGGATTCTCTTTTTTTTCTAGGGGCTTAACCAAATGAGCTCAAATGGAGGAACAATTGCCATTTATTGGCTGTTGAAACCACCATTGCTTCAACAGCCTGCAACAACTGTTGCAACCAAATAAGCTCGCTTCGCAGCCTTCTGTTTATTCAAAAAGGGACCACAAGTTGGCTAGCTAAACTGATGCTACCATAACATTTGAGAGCATTTACCGTTTTCTTTCTGACTTCGCTACCAACTGTTGAACGTGTGCACTCAAGTTTACCAATCAACAATTCACCAAGTTTTGACCATTGACATCTTTGACAAACAATAATGGTGTGTCAGTTTTGACAGGTTTGTCTTTCTCTTATTGTTGTTTATTTCTTTGGGGGGGACCGCCAGGAAACCCATGACTCCCTAGTATTTCCGTTGCATGATTTGAACATTGAGCCATACCTTGCGTTTCCTGGGGTGATACGATTGGCTAGAAATATGTCGGGAGCCTAATGGGGAAAGTTTGGAACCATTTCCCCCATCGATCCAAAACGCAACCCCTTGAGTCAGCAAAAGAATGCCAAGGGGACTCAATTTGGATAAATTCCTGAACGGTAAATGGTGGTTATATCCAACCGGGTCCCAACCACAGCTTTTTGGACCCGGGATAAAGTGGCTTGAATCCCAGGGTGCAAGGAATAAACTCACCTGCAACCAAAGGGAGTCCACCTGAAATGACCTTTGGTTTATTTCCTTTGGTCCATATAACATCTAGGTCCCCCAGTAGTGCCCTAGTACCCTCATTCTACCCCCTCCACTAAAAAACCTAGACATGTCACAAAAAGTCTTCTCACCTTGGATTTCGGTTTTTGCTCCTTTGGTCCCAAAAAACACTACAACACCAAAGGCTTGCTCACCTTGTTGTTTTTGTTTTTCTCCCCGTGTTTCAGCTGGCACCCCGTTTCAGCTAAGCGCTCGCTGGAGCCGCTGGAGCCGCTCTCCGAAGGTCGCCCCAGCCGTCGGCCGCCGGCCGCCGTCGGTCGCTTTCCGCAGGACACCTGGAGCTCCCAGGGCCACTGCGCGGACTGCGTGGCCTTCTGGGCCCAGCCCGTGGCCGGGGCCCCGGGGCCCCGGGGCCCTCGAACGATTCGATTCGAAGCCCCGCGCGAGGAAAGGGCCGGGCGGTTTGGTGTGGGGGCGCTTTTTGGGGTAGGTGTCGTTGTTGGTGGTGGTCCCTTCTCCCAAGTCCATGAAAGTCAACCCCATGTGGATGGTTGCGAAATCCTCTTAGGCACCACCTAAAGAAACCCAACGGAATGATTTGATTCTCCTGCAAACACCAACAAATTGTGGTTTCAGCCATGGTTTCAAAATGTTGCGAAATGGATTTTGTCCATCCGCAGTAGGTGTCCTTTTTGGTTTTGGCAAAAGAATAGATGGCGATTCCTGGTTTTTAAAAACAGGTGGTTTACTCATCTACCGGGCCATCTATTTCCCCCAACAGGACACCTATGCTTGGGGGTGGTTCCAAAAACCAACAAGAGCAAGGCGCCCTTGGTGGGCTTGGTTCAAAAAAGCCACTTCTTGGGGCGTGCTTGGAAATCCACGTGGCTTCCCCAGAAGAACGCTCTCATTTTTCATGTTTTGCTTTGTTTGGGGTCCCCTTTATTTTGTACGAACCAACAAAATGTATAGTGTTTTGCTGGGGTCCTCATTCCAGCCAAGGTGAAGCGTTGCCATGAAATCCACGTGCTTCCATGTTGATCTTGAAACCCTTCCAGCTTGGTTCCGAGCTAGAACGCGATTTGAATCCACGCGCCTCCATGTTTGTTGAGGTGTAGTAAGTGCTTAATCAACTATACAGTATGACCAATTTGCAACCAGGCACACTCCACTTGCGGGGGGGTTTTAGCCACATCACTAACCACTTACTAAGTTGGCAAATCGAACACCCAAGTAATGTTAACCCCGGATCAATAAACCCCTGGTTGATTAATAGGGGGTGCCCCCTTTTTAGTCGGGATTCATCACTTTTGGAGGGAACCCCCCCTAATAATGGGACGGGTTTATTAATCCTGGGTCAACATTACTATTTTGACGGCTACGGGTGTCAGAAGCCGAGAGAGTTCTTCGTCCAACCTGCTGTTGGGTGTTCGATTCGAGAGGGAAAGTTGCTGGTAACCGATGGGTTATTACCCACTTGTGAGTCCGCTGTTCAGTGGGTTTAACCCTCTGTTTACCTTATTAGGGCGTTACAACCCAAGTGGCCAATCACTTACTAACTTGGCGAATCGAACATCCAAGTATCCTACGGATGAACAACTCCGCAGCACAGCATCAGCAGTCAGCCGAATGGAAACCCTCCACAGGGCATTCGTGAGGATAAGGCGTCGGGGGGAAATGGAGCCCCCCTTTCGGGCTGGCTAATTCGGGAAGCATGTCTCGAACATCACCCCAACGGTAAAAATTGAGGGAGTTGCAACCACCGAACAAAAAGTCGGACATCATAGAAAGGTTTGGAACCTGAAAGTTCTACAGATTTGCAGCAAAACAACACATGGATTTCTCTGAATTTCACGGGCGTTAGCAGGGAGGGGTCGAAAGATTCGGCTCCGGGGGGTGTTCACCTGGGCTTGAAAGAAAGAACCTAGCCAAGTTGCGATCGCTTTTCTCAGTCACTGTTGCGATCGGTTTTTGAGGTAAAGCGCATGGAGAAAAAAAACAGCAGCTGGCGATCCAGGAAGGGCATCACCGAAAGTCTTGGCATTTACCCTGTAGATATTTCCTTACAGGGAGAACCACCGCTGAAAAACGTCTCTCCAAATGTATCTGTGAGGTTTCAGCAAGTTGTAACCATGGCATTTTAGCACATTTTGTACGGTAGCTGCCATTTGTTGACTGAGTTCATTTTATCGATCGGGCTGCCAAAACAGGACCCTTCATTGGGATCTTTTGAATTGACTCGTCTCTCGTGCCCATGCGGAAGAAGGGGGTGGCTCGCTTGGGGATTTGGCTTCCCCTAAGGAAGCAAACGCACCCACGCGTGGACATCCGGGAGCATTGCTTTAGGTTGGACAACCGATCGATCCATTCGATTCTTCTTCCTGTAAGAAGCCCGTACCGGCTAGCAAAAACTGGCAGATTTTTTGCAGCCTACTACAAATATACTGAACCAAGCAACCTACAAGTTTAAAAACGCATGCTCCCTTGGCCCAAACCTCGACCGAGCCTCGAGCCGATGTCTGGGCCTAACTCCAAAGCTTTCAGCTGGAAATGGCCCATGGAACTGCATCACGCCCGGCCAATACCGGATGTCTTTAAAGGGAAATGAAAGAAACACTATCCATTTTAGGCAGGGCTCCTTAAAAGATACGTTGTGTCCATTTGAAACATGGCTTTTTCCACCAAAATCAACCTTAGATCGGTGGTCTTTGGTTTCCCTTCAGAGATTGTCACCTGAACACCGGTACCAAAAAAACAAGGCAACACGGGTTTTTCTTTGGCCCGGGCGACACACGGTATGTCACCAATCAAGATGTCTTTCAATCGTATAGCTAGCCTCCTCATAAGGGACAACCCTCATGTATCACCGGCCTTGTGACCCCCCGGCCTCCCTTTTAAGGCCTTTGGGACATTCGATCATAATTATAGGGGTCCTCGCTTAGCGCGTTTTACCCTTTTTGGGGGCGGGTTCCCCTACTAAAATAGACTGCAGAAGAAAGTTGGTACCTGATTCCAACCTCTCTACTGGAGGACCTAGTCTGATCCCCATTTTTTTTTGGGCACGTCGTCTGCCTTCCTCTTATCGCGGAATAGTCGCCCTCGAGGTGCCTGGAGCGCCTGCCTTGGGGGAGGAACTCTTCGACTGGCTCATGCAGTGAGACACACGGGGGCGGCCGCAAGTTTTCCTCCAGCCGTGTCGGGCAAGTTGAGGCAATTTAGGGGTTTTATGGGTTGAGTGCAGGTTTGGGGGGCGACCTTTCGGCTTACCTGTGGTTTTGGGGTTTTATTGGTTAAGTGCAGGGTTTAGGGGGACGCTCTCTTCTTTGTTCTGCTTAAGTGGTTCAGGACTGAAAGGATGCCTGAATTGCCAGCGGCTTTCGCCCAGCAACTGTGACTGTTTTCAAAGGTACCCACCTGGAGCCTGACTTTTCGGGATCCTGGAAGACGAGCTTCCCTTAAAAGGGACCGAGCCTCTGGTGGGTTCCATGTTGGACAGGAGGCTAAGGCGCGTAAAGCGATTCGGCGATTCCCAGGGCGATTCGGCGACCCCATGGCGACTCGGCGCCAGAAAGGTCCAGGCTGAACCGGACCGGACGAATTGTCCCGCCGAAAGGCTCGACGGAGCTGTCTCCGAGCTGGTTGGAAGGTGTCTTGATATTTATACTACTGTGGATGGACAAAATCCTGCACCACCTAAGAAACCCTGGAATGATGATTATCCTGTAAATACCAACAAATTATGGTTTTCCATGGTTTCAAAGTGGTGCAGGATTTCGTCCATCCACAGTAGGTCCCCCAGCTAGGTGCCCTTTCACCCCTTGGGGGTTGTGGACCCATGACATGTTCCACATTGGCATATTTTGACAAGGCTGATACTGTGGACAAAATCCCATTTCGCACCACCCAAGACACCATGGTTGAAGCCATAAAGTTTGTTGGTATTTCCGTTGGGGATCATACCGTTCTAGGGTTTCTGAACGGTGGTGCAGTCAAGACCCAGCAAGTTGCAAGTTGTGCTGGCCAGACTCAGAGACTCAGGCCAGAGCATGCCGGCAGATTTTCCGTAGGACACTTGTCCGCCACGCAAAGTGTGGCGAAGCGATGGTATTACGGTCAAAAATAGGCACCCAAAATGGGACCCTGCTAAGTGGAAACATGGACCAAAACCTGCGGTCCCCTGCTGGTTTCATTTTGATCTATGCTCACATGTATGTTTGACCCACTTGGCAGGGATTTATGTCATATAGAAGCACACCATTCGGCAATGGAACACTTGGCAAGTAGGCATTAACCGCGTGCATGACTGGGGTAGTTGGGGTGAATTGCCTCCGGTATGTTAAAATTTCAGCCAACCCAGCCTGTGCAGGATGTTGTTCACAGGGGTTGAACCTGATCAGTGGGTTGAAACCTCCACGTAACCGCCGGCAAAAGCGCGGAAAATCATCCAGGCGGCCCGCAAAGTGTCCCCTTGGCGTTCCTTACAAACACCCAAAGAAAAAGATATCCTCCCATCCATTATCATGGAACCTGACAGGGGTTTCCTTTCATTGGAAAATGGTCCAAACCAGGACCCCCCGGTCCGGTTCCGTGTTAATTGGAGGGTAGACAAAACCGACTCAACTCACCATTTTGCCCTCGGTCCCTGCTGGGATTTCTCCATTTCGTTCTGTGATTAGGTCGCCCAGCGATTGGTGCCCTTTTTAACCGTTCCTTTTTTTGGTTGGGAGGCTTCTCCGTGTCTAAAATAGACAGAAACAAGTTGGTACCAACTTATTCTAACCTCAAACTGGGGGACCTAAGTGAAGCAGCCACCTCCGGCGATGGTTACAATTGCTCCCTGGAGCTTTCAGCCGGGTGAGCCCAAATGGAGGCCTGGGCCCTCAAACTACCCCGAAGGGAAAACCAACCAACCAGAACTGTACGGCGATTGGGTTGGATCTTTAGCTCACTTCCCGAGTTGGTGGACTTTAAACTTTTTGGGTTTGGACCATTTTAGTGGGAAATGTAAAGTTCGGACTTTTCTTGGGCCATCCGCTCAGCGAGATAGACTTCAACTTGTTGGGCCCTTTCTCATATTTCCCTGTAACCAGCAAACAGTGTTTTCACTTTTTGCTGGGAAAACACTTTTTGCTGGGGGATCTACAGCACCCAAACATGCTTCTGGGCCCGAACCCCCATTTTTCAGGCGGGCCAGGAAGATCCCGAAAGGCCGTTTTTTTTCTCGGGTGTTTCTCTCTGAAGAAGGCGTTTTCTTTGACCGAAGAGCCGCGAAGAGACCTTTTGGAAGCAACTGGGTCTGACTTTGAGGCTACACCTTTTGGAGTGGTTTTAAAGGGACACCAACATGAAAACCACATTTTTTCTAGTGCTGCCTTCCAATTCCATTCTTTCCTGGGATCCGAATCTGTCCAACCGTTAGAATTTTGGGGGTCCCTGTTCAAAGACAGACCCAAATGGCTTTTGCATAGACCTGCAATCGGTTGATCACGAACTTCAGCAATGGCAACCATATCTTGCATGTAAGCATGGGGAAACCAAAAGGGGATTTTGTTTTTCCCCAGACCCCCTATTCAGCATCCATGTAAAACGATGGTTCCCCCGCAGCTTCACTCGAGCTTCTAGGGGTTGATTCCTCATTCTGTTCGACCGTCGTTCTTTTCAACAACCGATCGCCGCTTGAACCCTGGGTTTCCGGAGGTCGTCGAATTATTTTGGGTTCTGTTCTGCGGGTCAACGTCGGAACGGTTTGGCACTGCAGCTTTTGCCAGAAGACCAAAGCCAGCTTGGTGAACAAATAATGCCCCCCAAAAAAAAAGAAAACCGAAAAGGAAGAACTTGCATTTAGTTAAGAATATGTTTCCCCTGTTGGTTTTGAAGGGCATCTATCACTACTGGAAATATGTTGTTTTTTCCTCACGGGACTTAAGCAAATGGAGAAGAAGAGACAAGCCAGCAACTGGTGTTTGAATCCTTTCGGAGGGCCAAGCTGTCCTGCGTAAGGTGTCGGAAAGACCATCCTTAACTTTACCTCCAATCTCTGAAGCAGGTTGGCAAGAGACATGTGAGAAGAAGATTTAAGCAACAAAGTTGCTCGGAACATTGAATCCTCCAACATCTAGAGCCATCAAGGGGTAGCATACCTACGCCAATTTTATCTAATATATGTAGCAGTATAGACGGCATAGATGTGTGTTTGCGTGTGTGAATCCACGTACCAAGGGCAGCTCCCACATCCTTTCCAAAGTCCTTTCCGCAAAAAGCCGGCACACATCCGGACGGGGACCCGTTTCTTGGGGTTTAATGGAGAACCAAAGGAACACAACAAACAATTTTGTGGGTTCAAACCCCAAAAACAGACGAGCCGCCCACTTGCAAATCTTTCAGGGTGGTTCCCAAAAACTTGCTGGTTCGTTTGAGCCGTTTTTGGGCGATTCAAACAAGGATGGTTGACAAAAGGGGAAAAAGGGACCAAGGCCCTAGAAGATTTGCTGGTTCGCCATCCGGTTCTTAGGCTTCTATAGTCGTTTCTAGGGGATTTTGTGGTAATTTCCCATGAACCCACCTAAGACTTTTAGCAGGGGATCTGAGCACAGCCCAGAATGCGTGTGCCTTGCTGTACAACACGCAAAAATGAACGAATGTTGGGGCTTCAAAGTTGGTAAGATACCCTTGTCCCATTTACGTCAAAAAAACTGTTGGTGCTCAGCTGTTTCCTTGCAATGTTGCCCGCCAACCCGCCGGCGGACCAATAAGGACCACAACGTCATAGCGTTTCAAGGCATGGCTCTAAATCATCTATGACGATTTGCACTACCCCCCAATCACACCATCACACCATCAGGGTAAACTGGAGTATATACAATTTCAGTGGCTATATAGTCCAGGTTCCCCAGCAGTGCCCTTTTACCCTTTTTGTTGGTTGGGGGAGGGTTCCCCTAGTAAAATAGACTACAGAAAAAAGTTGGTACCCTTATTCTCGCCTCTCCACTGGAGGACCTAGCAGTGGTGGTATCTCCCATTCAACCCCTGCACTTGGGGTTTGAGGATTTCCTACCCCCCACCCGCAGCGCGACTCGCCCCCCCCTGCACTGAGGGTTTTTTAGGCCCCCCACCCCCCACCACCCCCCCCCCACCAGCGCCCCCCGATGGCTCCAACTCCCCAGCCCGAGAGACCGAGAACGCGAGCCAGGCGATGAGCCAGGCGACGCAGCAGGATTCCTTGCAGCAAGCGGCGCAGGAGCCGATTCCCAGCGCAAAGCGAGCTCGCGTCACTCGCGTCACTCGCATCACCCAACACACCCCATTCAAGTGAGGTGAGAAATTCCCCCGAAATTCCCCTTGGTATCTTCCGTTTGGTTGAGAATAGGTGTTATTTTCCTCTGTTGGTTTTAAAGGGAATCGATATCAGTACTGGACATATTATTTTTTTCCAAAGAACTTAAGCAAATGGAGGGTGTGGATTGCTGGTTGTTCGAGTTGGAGTTTTGAAGCTTTAGGTGAAATGTCCACAAAACAGTTTACAGGTCACACTTGGTTGTTTGGATTGGTGGTTTGGATTTGTATTTGAAGCCCTTCTTGCAGAGGGTAGATGGGAACTGCTTGCTAGCCACTACACCACCGGGCTCCTACGCAGCAAGAAGTGGGAGATAAGTTGGCCGAAAGGAAGCTAACAAAGGGACCATCGCTTTTCTCCAGACTCCCTAAGCTTCTGTTCAGCTTGGCAATCCGCACAATCCTCACCCTCTTCAAGTTCTGAAAGGGCTGCAATACTGCCCAAAAAGGGAAGGCAGAAAGTGTTCAAAACATCGCGGTTGCAGCAGTCAGCAAAGTTGGAAACCAGCGGCTGGTTTACTTGACCCGGCCTTTTGCTGGGCCCAATACATGTTCCCAGCAATAGATGTTGACGGTTCCGGGTTATCTTTAAGTCAGAAACTGGGGACGTTCGTCTTCCACTCAGACTCTCCAGCGAGTTCCCTATGGAAGCCACTCGCTGGTTCGTTGGAAGTTCAGACAAAGGGGGTTGCTTTGTTCGATGCTCAGACAAAGGCCCCCCCTGCAAAATCCTATGTTTTCCCCTCTAACACAACCCTACAAGGGGTACCCTCAGAAGAGACTCACCCATTTTACCCTCAGATGTCCAGTGGCCATGGGTTGTGGGGGAAAACACAAGGAAAACCCACCCCAAACTGAAGGATCACCAAAGAAAACACCCATGTTGGGCTTTCCTTCCAAACCGGCCAAAAAATGGCGCTCCCCCAAAAATGGACAAGTTGTCAGACCAACCTAGTAAGGGTCTAGGGGCTGATTCCAACCATTCTCCTCAAAAAACGGATCCGTTTCCCCTGGGTTTCTGATGGTTTTCTCGATAGATTCGGATCCCTGGGTTGAGAATGGAAACGGAAGGTACCCCTCCTGAACCACCCAACCAGGTGTTTGGTTTGATTTTTATTGTTATTGTTATTTAGCTTGTTCGTTTTTTGTGTTTTGTTTTTAGCTTGTTCGGTTTTTTTTGTTTTGTTCGGTACCCCTAGCAAGGGCTTTCCAGACCCACCATTTTTTTCAGAGGAGGAGATGGGCCGACTGCACCGGCGTTTGCGGGGTGCGCAGCGCCGGCTCTTCAGCTGCTGGGGACTCGGAGTGGGAGACGCAACTCGGTGCATGTGCCAATGCAGCTGTTGCAGAAGACCAAGCCAGCTTGGTGAAAGAATGCCCCTTCCCACAAGAAAAAAAGAACTTCCATTTGGTGAAGAAAACAGAGTATTTGTTTTTGAGGTTCACTACTGGAAATATATGTTTTATTTGTTTCCCAGGGGACTTAAGCAAATGGAGGCGTGGGTTGCCAGAAATGGAGATCTCCAGGGGTCGAAATCCCCCCTCCCAGTCCCATTTTTAAGGGGGGAGAAATATATATATATATATGGTTTGCTAGCCTCCCCTTGGTTTTCAAAGGGAATCGATCGCTACCAGAAAAATGTTCTCGTTTTTACCGGACGAAACCGCCTTCTGGAAGAATCACAAAATTGTGAACTTTGTCCTGGGCATCCCGAAAATGCCGGCGGATGAGTGTGTCTTTCTTTAAGGGACCCGTTTCAGTGAATCTGATCGAGTAATTACCCAAAAAGGAGTTCCACAAATGTCCCAAAAAGGAGTTCCACAAATGTCCCCGGATTCAAGCGCATGTCCTTTTTCTTGTTGGGTTCTCAAAAAAACAACTCAAGAAGTGGATTCGCACCTTTGATCCTTCCTTTTGGGTTCTGACAACGGGGGAACACGAGAGCACCGCCTAAAACCCTGATTGCGATATTGCAGCGAATTGACCGGATCTAAACCCCTCACAAGGAATTCTTGATCAAAATCAGAGGCCTAGACTGCCAAGTTGCCGTTTTTTCAGGCGCTGTTGCTTGTTTGCCTGGAAAAAAACAACTCGCAACTGGCGATCCAGGGTGTTCCTACCTGGACTTGATCGAACGAACTCGCCTTAAACCTGAGGTTGTTCTTGAAAATATCTTACATTTTCGATTATTGTGGTTTAGTGGTTGAAATCCAACCACTTAACTGCTAAAAACTAATTGTTTGCTCCCCTTCCAACGTTAACCGAGTTAAACCTGGGCGATTGGAACGCAAAACTATGGGTGGGTGGTTCCTCTTGAAGGGTAGTGAACTTCGGGTTCGGGTAGATCCGGGGCTCGGTGGAGTCGGTTCCAAATCCGAACCAATCCAAACCACCAAGGCTTGCCAGGGTGGGTAAACCCCCAGGTCCATCCCTCGGCGACTCGGGGTCACCCCTGGTTTGCCGACCCCGAAAACCCCGCCATGTCTACAGGAATACCCTCTTCCAGAAGGGGACTCATTGGGTTTTGCGTGAACTTGTGCAGGAAACCATGGCCATATTCTGTTTAGTTACCCGTTTAACCGTTTAACCAAGTGGGTTGAACACTCCAAGTGACCTGAATAAGTCGTTGACCCGTACCAAGCTGAAGACTCCAAGGACCTGAGTAAGTTGTTGATGCGAAAGCAAACGGTGACTCACTCGAGTGACTCGAGTGACTCGAGTGACTCGAGTCGAGGCCTCTGCCGGGCCCTGGTGCCGCATCTGCAGCTGGCCTTCGCCGCGTGGCGCGGCCGCGCGGTGCGCCAGCGGCGCTGCCAGCGCCAGCGGCGCCAGGAGCGGGAGGGATCGAAAGGCACTCGCGAGGGGAGCGGAGGTTCATGGACTTGGCTTACTACCTTTCTGGTTGCTACCGAAAAATTCGGGGGGGGATGTAGTAATTATATATATATATATTATACTAGGTCCCAGCGGAGAGGAGCGTCCAAGCGCCTTTTTCGGGTGGAAAGAATTACATGGGCTAGGTCCCCCAGCTAGGTGCCAACTTTTACCGTTTCTTTTTTGGGGGAGGGTTCCCCTACTAAAATAGACTACAGAAAAAAGTTGGTACCCTTCTTCTAACCTCTCCACTTGGAGGACCTGTTCGGGGGTGGTCAATATTCCGATTGTGGGCCCCCAAACGACCATTGGATAACTTTTCCCATGTAGAGGCAAATTATTCATCCATTTTGGGGCGCCCAGTTTTGACAATTGGATAACTTTTCCCACGCGGTGGAAGTATCATCCTTCTTCGTGGTTTTCCAACCAATGGTCATCCCGTGTTTACCGGACCTTTTGATCAACCCCAACCTAGCCCTTGGTCATAGCCGGTTTCCAACCCACTTTATAAGTAGTTACTCCTTTCTGGGCTCATTTGCCACACTGTGGATGGACAAAATCCTACACCTCAAAAGAAACCCTGGATTGATGATTCCCCTTTTTGTTGCCAACAAAGCTCCGTGCGAGACTCGAAGATTTTGATTTCAACCATCAGGTCCATATCACGGGCCCAAGGCTGGCCATGACGTCTCTCCGGCGATTCCTCCCTCCGATCCCTCCCACCAGCTAACATGGGTTTCATCCACAGTATCTTTGGTTGACGGGAGGTCCGTGTTTTGTTCTTTGCCGGGCAGCCATGAAAAAATGTCATACCCAGGCTTTTTGGAGGCCAAGTTAATCATTTGTCCGTTGTGCTTTGGTTTTTCGAGGGGGGCTTCGGTTTGGGTTGCCCTAGAATGTTTGCCAATAAGAGAATGGCAAGAGGTCAATTTGGATGACATTCCTTAGGCAAACAATGGTGGGGTTTGATGAAGTGGTGGTTTGAAGCCCAGGGTTTTGGGTTTTACCCCAGTCAAACCCAAATTGAACCATGGTCATACTCTACTAATGCAGATATGGAACCTAAAGCTGGTCTCCTGAAGGAAAACCAAATAGTGCCAGAGGCTCCTCAGGTTGCATGCTTGTGGAAGGGTAGTATGTAGCTTGGAACCATGGTTGCACCTTTTTGGGGCCGGTTTGGTCCAATTTTTGCGTTTGAGAGAGCTTCATAGAGGGCAAAAGACACCCCTTTTGATAGAATCCCGCAAAACAATGAGTACGACCACCTACTAAGTTTCAAGTGGAGCCAGCCAAGTGCTGGCCCTCGTCAGGACAAGTTGACAGGGAAGTTCCGTTGGGTGACTCCTTTTTTGGTTGGCTTTAAAGGGAAACCAAAAAGGCAACCACCAAAAATGGTTGGGTCCAATTAAATAAAGACACACCCATGCTTTGAGGGGACGCGTTTCGGAAGTTTTTGTGTTGTGGTTCGTGTGGTGGAACGTGGGTGGTAAACCATCCTGGACCTTCAGACTCCGGGAAATTTCTGGGTGTTTCAGGAGACCCCTGCGATTTACCGAATTCCAGTGGTTTAGCTACAATTTGTGCAAAAACACAAACGAATTGCGTCGTTTCCAGTCGTGCATACAAAGTAAATACAACTCGCAGCATGCCAGCGTGCCAGTGAACCCCATAGGATGCCTTGATCATCAAAACTACGACTTTATCTGAGTTGCGGGAGTTTGTGGGTTTTTGCGGGAGATTTGCGGAAATGTGCGGGTGTTTTGCGGTCAACATGGGTACGTTTTTTCTGCACCGCACAACTTTGGACCGTGTTGACAAACTTTCGGGCTGCTTTAAGACGTTTACCCTGCAAAGCTTCTTTTAACCTGTCAAAGGCCGCGAGCATTGCAATAGTTTGTTTTTTAGGAGTTTTAGGAGTTTCAGGTTTTTGCGGCAAAAAGTGATACGATTCCCGAATATCCAGTCAAAGGCGGAAACTACGTTTTTTTTCAGGAGGACGAAGATCCAGGATCTTGTGTTTTGGCTGTGCCCAAAGGAAACCACCAAGAATGAATAATTAATAATTGCAATGTGTCCAAAGCCCTGACTTGAGCCCAACATAGGATGGCATAGGAAATCCGGTTGGCCCAGGGGCCAACCGGATTTTTCCCCCAATTGGTGCACCCCTTTTGGCTGGGGGACAAACAAGTACCGAAAGGCCAACCAAATCCTTGCTAACCGCCCTGGTCGACCGCCTTCGATTCAAGAATCTATGAAACTAGGTCCACGGCACATATTCCACCGTGTGTCAAAGTCGACATCTCAAAAACCCCGGGCGAGTCACATCCTGTTTTCCATCTAAATAACGTGTTTTCTCAACATGTTTCAACGACATCTTTTGCGCGGCAGTTACAGTGGGGAAGGAAGCTCACATTGGTATTTGCAGGTTAAACTGCACGTTTGGCTCCTGAAAAACTACTTTAGCCTTTTGCAAAAAGACTACCTGCTTACCTTTTGGGAGCCTTTAAGTAGCCCTTCCCGGTAGACCGCTTCGCCTCTTTGGCGCTCTTTTTTTGGGACTGAACTACACAACCTAAGACCTGGAGCCAGCCTTTTTTTATTTTAGCGATTTGGGGCTTAGGGCTGAGGCTGTGCATGAGCGCGCGGGCTTACCGTTTGGCAGGCGTGTAAACATGCTGCGCGTGAGCGGAGGCTGCGCGTGAGCGGTTGTGCTTACCATTTAGCAGGCGCGTGTGCAGTGCGATTATGCTGCGCGTGAGCGAGGGCTGCGCGTGAGCCGGGGTGTGCTTACCATTTGGCAGGCGCGTGTGCAGTGCGAACATGCTGCGCGTGAGCGGAGGCTGCGCGTGAGCCGGGGTGTGCTGACCATTTGGCAGGCGCATGTGCAAGCGCGAACATGCTGCACGTGAGCGGAGGTTGCGAATGAGGGGGTGTGCTTACCATTTGGCAGGCGTGTGTGTGCACTGTGAATGTGCTGCGCGTGGCAAAATACAGGGCCATGTGCGTTCTAGTGTGTTACCGCCGAGCAAATCAGTGGATGGGCGATATCCTCTTAGTCACCACCTAAGAAACCCTAGAATGATATGATCCCCTGTAAATACCAACGAAGAATGGTTTCTCATGGTGTCTTGGGTCGTGCGAACGGATTTTGTCCATCCACTGCATCATACAAAGGAGGGGCGTTGCCACCTCATCGTGCAGGTTTCTTTAGTTAGGCACCATGAACGCCATGGCAAAGTTTGACATGTGTCTTGCTTCAGGGTTCCTAGGTGCCCGGCACCTTTTTGGTCGGGGCTTAGCATGCCCACACACAGAAACTTTGTCGCATTTTGCCAAGGATGTTAGGACTTCAACTTTTTGCCAACTAGGCTTTCCAAAAGTTAAGCTTTTAGCAGGGGAGCAAAAAGCAACCGAGGTTGGTAGGTGTTCGCAAGCCGGGGATTGATTGAACAACCTTTCAGTCAGAGGTTGACATGATATCACACCCTGAAGACCTCCCAAACACCCCCCCAACCACCTAAACCTGCTTCCAGTGAAAGGTAAAACCGACCAGAGTTGGAGGTTTTTTTGGGGGGGCCTAGGAAAAGTCCTATGACCATAACAACCTCAAATCCTGCGGGGCATTCACATCTAGGACGTGGGTTTTGAGGCTAAGGCTCTGTATACCCCTAGGTCCCCAGTAGTGCCCGTTTGCCGTTTCTGTTTTAGGGGAGGCTAGTAAAGTAGACGACAGAAAAAAGTTGGTACCCCTATTCTAACATCAAACTACTGGAGGACCTAGGTATATACCCCGTACCTCAATACCTGCAAAACCCCATGCCTCAACGACTTGATCAGACGGCTTGCGTATCTCGCTGAAAGGAGGCAGCGACCGGTGTGCTGCAGTTGTTGGTGGGCCTGTGGCGGCGTCACATGGAAGCGCAAAGGAGGCGCAAGCAGGCCTGATGCCCACAGGAACCGCCTCGTTTTTTTTCATCTTGGGATTTTTCATTTTTCCCATGGTTCTACAGGTGGAAGTACATACCTTGGCGCCTGGCGGCATCAGACATTCGGAACTTTTCACCTTGGGATTTGTCCATGTGGTGAAGAATTGTTTTCATTTTATTTTCCCCGGTTGGTTTTTGTGGGAATCGATTTCACTACTGGACATAGTTTTATTTTTTCCAGGGGTTGCTTAAGTGGAGGTGGATTTGCCCATTTTCTCATGATTCTAAGGGTGGAAAAACATACCCCTTGGCTTCCGTGGTTGCCAGTCCACTCTAAAAGACGGGGTATATGCACCTTTTGGCGAGCGGGGTATGAAGATCAGGCCTTTTGGTTCATTCGCCCGTGGAATGGTGACAAGACTCGACTGTAAACCCTGCAATACCCACCCAACACCGGTGTATCTCAAGCCCACTTGCCCAAAGCGAATCGACCTTTTGTCCTTTTGGTTGTTCTGTTCTGATCCAATGTTTTAGTCACGGCCCCAAAAGGTGATCACCTTTTACTTCTGGATTCTTTGGGCAGCTGAGGTTTTGGTGCGACCGAAGATTTGGACGGGGGTACCATGAAAACACACACACACACTTGCCCTGCATTGTTCTAGGGGACACTTCCATTTCCATTCTTTCCAGGGACCCTTCTTTCCAGAAAACCACCAGAACCCCAGGGGAAACAGATCCGTTTTTTTTTTTTTTACAAAAACTATGGTTGCAAAGAATGGAATTGGAATCAACCCCTAGAGTTGTGGATTGTGCAAGGCTCAACGTGGTGGCCATGGGTAAGGCAAGTGATTGGAATTGAACCCAGCTGCAGCCAGTTGCCCAGGGCGCCTTTTGGTCTTTCTTTTTTGTGGAAGGATTCCCCCTGTTAAACTCAGCCCGCCAAAAATGGATGTCCTTTTTTTTCCCATGGCCACAGGGCATTTGAGTGCAGAAGGGGGGGCACTTGTTGAGGGTACCCGTTTTGGGGTTGTGTTGAAGGGGAAATCAAGCGAACACCACTTCTTGCCGGGGTCTCTCAAAAAACACAAACTCAAATGTCGCCGAAAAATCAAGGGTCGCGTACTGAGAACATGTTGTGGGCCCCAATGCGCTGAAGGCTGTGACCGATTGACTGTGTGGGAGTTTGTTCAGAACCGGAAAGCTGCGCCACCTTGGACACAGCCCCCGCACATAGGCGTGTCGTTTTAAGGGAACCCGTTTGTGGTTTGTTTTACAGGAATTGCAAGAAGGAAAAACACAAGTCCAAAAAGGAAGCACACACAAATGAGGGCATGCCCTGAACAAAAGCCAGCCTGGCGGCTTCTTTCCTGAAAAAAGGATCCAGATAGAGCTTCGCGTGGGTTTGCCGCTTCGCCAGGCTTGCCAGAAGATGCTCTTCCACATCCTTCAGGACCAGGCGCATGTATTGGGCTTTTCTCGGGCCCCGGGAATGGAGGTTTGCCTCCTGGCACCCTTTGCTTTGCAACTCGAAATGGGTCCAACCAATTCGGAGACATTCCATATTGCCAGATCCCCCCAAGCAGCCAAAGTGGCAAAACTCAACGGGAAATTCTGCAATACCCACCCAACACCAGTGTATCTCAAGCCCACTTGCCCAAAGCGAACCGACCTTTTGTCCTTTTTGTGTTCCTGTTCTGGTCCAATGTTTTAGTCATGGCCCCAAAAGGTGATCCCAGAGCTGGGTTGCCTTCAGGTGTCCTTCTAAGCGGTTGGGTCTTTGCAGGGGGTGTTTCTCAGACGTTAGTAGAGGAACCTCCACAAGCCTGGAGTGCCTTTAGTTGAGTTCACCGGGATCACCAGTTGCGATCCTTTTTTTCCCATGCACTCAAAGCTCCAAAAACCGATCGCAACAGTGACTGAAAAAAACAATCACAACTTGGCTATCTGGGCACATTGGAACGAAAGGTGACTGAAATGATTTGCCCCTCCAGCACCCCTCAATGGCTGGCCAATTGCCGGTTTCCTGTTAGGACAACCCCGAAAAAGCTGCCTACCGTCTGGGCGGTTTCCGTTTCCGGCGCCCCGCCGGCCGGAAACGAAAGACGCCACCTTTCTGGGCCGCGGGGTGCAATTCACTGGGACACACACACACACACCCTATGGACCCAGAGTTTGTGAATCTTAGCCTTGTTTTCAATATTATATATTTATTTATATATGCATATATATATATACATGCACAAATTGCAGCCAGGAGTAAACTCTCACACAACAGTTGGTGGGGGGAAACCTACACGCGCAAAACCTGTGTGCCAGGGATGCAGACATTTCTCATATGAATTTCCGTGCACACGCCCCTGAAAAGTGGTTGGTTGCATGACGTCTGAAGTGCTTGTGGTCTGTGTTGTCCTGACGTACCGTAGTGGTTGTAAGATTTTATCAATAAAAGTTGTATTTATCATCTTTTGATTCGTCGCGGAACGTGAACCCATTTGACCTTTGGGTGACTTTTTCTCGAGGCAAACCAAGCAATAATCACCTTTCCTTTTCAGGTGCTGTGCGTCAACTCTGACCAGTTCATGCTTGAAACCTCGCATGGACATCCATGTCAAGTCCAAAGCGAACATGCACCCAGGTCATAAACCAGCCATGGATTGCATGGGTACCAAGCACTTGTAGATTTCGTTGACCAAGGGAGCCGCTTTTGTTCAGAAGCTAAACCCCTTCCCGCAGGCGAAGGGATACACATCGCCATGAGTGAGTTTTAGAGTCGGAACCACAAGCCACAAGTGTGTAGACGTGAATCCGCTAAAATCAAAAAATACCAAATCTTACTATCATGATGACCAAACTTGGTCTGACACTACTCCCTAATCCCAGTCTAGTTGTTCAGGCCCGTATATTAACTACCTGGACCCTGAAATTGCCCTTAAACATGTCGTACAGCCCCGGAGGTATGGGTAAACATCCTCTCATTGTTTGGGTATATAGTTTAGGGTCCAGGTCCTTGTTGCCTGGAGGCCACTCGAATACGGGTGATCTGAACACCTGAGGCCAGCAAGCTGCACTTGCTCTTCGGCTCCTGGTGCTTGCTGCTCCATTCCGCCCAGGCGAGGTCGCAGATGTCGTGCCGTTTTTTTCTTCGCTTCTGTTGACTTTGCTTTGTCTCCGAGTTGGGTGTGTGTGTGTGTGTGTGTTCTGTTTCTTGTGTTTGTTGTGTGGTGTTTCGTTTTTTTTTGGGCGGGGAGTTGTTTGGGGGTGGAGCCCAGAAAATTCGAACGCTCTAACATCCAGGAGATGCCCTTGATTGCGTTGAGTGTCTCTTAGCACGCTGGACCCTTATCTCCCTCCCCGAACGGACTTCCGATGACTTTACGTCAGTTGCGAAAGCTTCCGTCTATGCGCGGTTGTCTATGTAAACGGAATCAGTTTCGGCCTTCTTACTGTTTCGGCATAGGGGGCATAGGGAAATGCTACTACACGCCCTGTCCGATGAGTATTGGGGGGGACCTTTCCAGAACTGATCTGATTCCCCTCTAAATGTAGGGGCACCTCCCATTAATCGACCAACCTGGAGTCTCCATGACCCTTAACCATGACCCCTTTATTTTGGGCAATGACCCCATGTTTAAAGGGTCATGGAGACTCCAGGAAGAGGTTCTCCTTTATCCAGGGTTCCCATTTTCTGGAATCCTCGTGAGTGAGTCCTTCCATGGGGCTGCATGGATAGCGGTTCCTGATGGGCGTTGGATTCATTTGACGGCACTAAATGCCTGGAATGATTCCTTAGGAATTCGTCATGCATGTCAAGGTTGACTAACTCTGAAGCAGAGTCTGAAACATACTGTGGATGGACGAAATCCTGCGCCACGTAAGAAACCCTGGAGTATGATTTCCATATAAATGCAAACAAACAATGGTTTGCCACGGTTTCAAAGTGGTGCAGGATTTCGTCCATCCACTGTATGTTTGGTCTACCCCACGATTGGGCCAAGCTAGGTGGGGAATCACCAATCTTTTGGGCAATGAACCGCGCGGTGAGTGAATTTATTTCAAGGAGCCAAAGTGATTCCCTCATTCCCTGCGTCGCTGGAATTCATTCAGCCCCTGGTTCAAACATGAGTGAAAGCCAAATGAATCAATCAGGATACACAAATATATTGAGCATGAAGTTAAGAAACGTGATCAAAAGAACCTGAAGAAAAGCCAAGCCACACGATTTAACGAATCTGAAGAAACAACAGCACAACAACCTGGACCCTCAAACTACCCTTAAGAAATGGAAAAAAAACACCTATAATTTAGGTTGCAAGCAATGGACCCCATGTTTAAGGCGGAAACATTTGAAAGGTCCAGGAACACCTATCACAAACAGGGTTTTGGGTGCTCTCGTGTTCCCCCGTTGTCAGAATCCAAACGGCAGGATCAAATGGGCTTGGTTGCGGGTGGTGTACTGAAAGTCCAGGAACACCTGAATAAGCTGCAAACGAAACACCTGCAAGAAAGGAGCTGAATAAAAGGAGCGGATTCAAAGAAGCGTTTTTGTTTTTCTTCTGTGCACCACATAGATAGCCAAGTTGCGATCGCTTTTTTTGAATTTCAGGCACTGTTGCTGGTTTTCGGGGCTTTGAGTGCAAAAAAGAAAACCATCGCTGGCAATCCAGGCAAGGGCCTTTTTGTTCACCCCAAGGAGTGTATATGGTCCAGGTTCCAGTGGGTAGCAACGGGGGCTGGGAACCACGAAACTTAGGGGCTATGAACAAGGGGTAATGTCCACCTACGATGAGTAAACCCCTAAATAAAGCTAAACTTTTTTCCCAAACCAAATAAACTACCAATAATAAACTTCCCCAAATAATAACAAACTACCAACCCTAAACAAAGCTGAACTTTTTCCCAAACCAAATAAACTACCCCTAAACAAAGCTGAACTATTTGCTTCCACCCCTCAGCCTTCGGGGTTTCAGCCCCGCGATTTCCGAGTCCCCGCAGTCGAGGCTTTGAAGGCGCGCCTTAGCCTGCGCCGTGCGCGCTGCGCTGCGCTGCAGCGGGTGGCCGGGACCCCAAGATGGGCCGAAGGGGGCCGAAGGGGGCGGTGGTGAATTTCCATTCAACGGGATCCCATTCTTACCTCTTAAAAACACAACTTTTCGTAGCTTTTTGGGTAACATGGGCTATATACTGTAAAAGATGAACTTCCCCAGGGCTTGGAGTTTTAAGGGCTAAGCGTTTTAGGGTTGTTGTTGGGACACTTTCTTGAACGTTTCAACCCATGGTTTCCAGATGGTGGAAGACTCGCGGATTTCGCATGGTTGTGGTTGGGAAACTTTCTTGAACCATTTTCGCTTATTGTGGTTGAGTGGTGGAAATCCAACCACTTAACTGCCAACCTTTGAGAATGGTTGTCGTTGGGGAACTCTCTTGAACGTTTCAACCCATGGTTTCCAGATGGTGCGAGACTCGCGGATTTCGCATGGTTGTCGTTGGGAAACTTTCTTGAACCATATTTGCTTATTGTGGTTGAGTGGTGGAAATCCAACCACTGAACTGCTAGAATTTGAGAATCCCTTCCAACGTCAACCAAGATTTGGGGCTGGGTGAATTCACCACTCATGTTAGGCTTCTTATTTTAGTTGGGATTGAATCGGATGTTCACTGGTGCGGGCTTTTGATTGGCCACATGTCCACTTGCCAACCACTGCCAATTTCGCAGCCAGCGGCACTTGGTTGCCAGATGCGCGTTGCGCCCAAACGAGCCAAAGCGAAACACCACGAGCCAACGCACTTAGCCAACGCAGAAGCGAGTGTCCCAGAGTAACATTGCAAACCGCAGTTGGTAGCCAAGAAACCTGCCGTGGCAATAGAGACTGCGGTAGGACAGCTTTCTGAGGCAGATAAAGCAGATTACGGTTTGCCATGGCTAGAGAGATTACAGTGCGACAGCTGTCTGGAAAAGCTGACCCGTTTCAAGTGTCGACAGATGTGACGGTTCGGGAGTTCAAGAGGCAGCTGCACAGGTGGCTTCCCTGCGCTGACGAATCAATGCGCAAGATGAGCTCTGTGGAAGTTATTGTTGAAGACAAACGCCTCTTGAACGACGAGCAGATGCTGTCAGAGGCCATCCCAGGTGCAGAAGTTACGGCTTTCCTCAGCGTCAAGCCGGTGACGTGCTGCAGCTTTTCAACATCTGGCTGCGGCCGGATGGATTTTCGCGTGGTGGCAATTCCAGGAGGCGCGACTGAGATTGAGGATGGTGCCTTTGAAGGTTGCCGCTCATTGGCAAGTGTTGCCATCCCCCGCTCTGTTACTGTCATAGGAAATTTTGCCTTCGGAGGTTGCAGCTCATTGGCAAGCATTACCATCCCGGACTCCGTGACTGTGATAGGACATCGTGCTTTCGAAGATTGCAGCTCGTTGGCATGCGTGACCATCCCCAATTCGGTCACTGAGATAGGCTTCTATGCCTTTCAAGGTTGCAGCTCATTGGCGAGCGTTATCATTCCCGACTCTGTGACTGTGATACGGGAAGGTGCCTTCGAAGGTTGCAGATCAGTGGCAGGCGTTCTCCTTCCCGACTCTGTCGATGAGATAGGAGCTTTTACTTTCCAAGGATGCAGCTCATTGGCAAGCGTGACCATTCCCATTTCAGTCACTAAGATAGAAGCCCGTGCCTTCCAAGGTTGCAGCTCATTAGTAAGCTTTGTCATCCCCGAGTCTGCTGAGGTTGGATGTGATGCCTTCAAAGGCTGCAGTGCTTTGCTAAGGTGAGTAGATCCCTCAGCTAGGGGCCCTTTTACCCTGTCTTGGGGGAGGGTATTCCCCTACTAGAATCGAATACAGAAAAAAATGGTAGCCTTATTCTACCCTCTCCAGTGGAGGACCTAGGTACCTTGTTGGATTTCTGTGCTTTGGAGCGCCGGTTTGGCGGTTTGACAACACTGGCACCTAAAAATCCTGGCAGCTTCAGCCGAGCGCCATCTGGTCAAGACATGATGGGATCGAAGGCGGAACTGACTAGGTCCCCCAGCTAGGTGCCCTTTCACCAACTTTTTTTCGGGGAGGGTTGCCCTACTAAAACGGACTACAGAAAAAAGTCGGTAGCAACTTATTCTAACCTCAAACTACTGGAGGATCTAGCTGAGCCACTTGGGTTTTGCCCAAGTTCCTGGTGTCCTATGTGACACCCTGAGAAGTCTCATGCCGCACGCCGCATGACCTGTGCCTGGCTGTTGCGCAGTGCTTTTTCGGCATGTCCACACGTTTCCTGCAGGAGCAAATCCATATGTAAAGCATGTCACCAGACCTCAAGAGGCAGCTGCACAGGTGGCTGCCCTGTGCTGATGAGTCAATGCGCAACATGAGCTCAGTGGCAGTTGAAGACAATCGCCGCCTAAACAGTGAGGGATTTCTGTCAGACGCTGTCAGAGAATCATGGCTTTGCATGTTGCCGCTCATTAGCTAGTGTTACCATCCCCGACTCCGTGATAGAAGATGGTGCCTTCGCAGGTTGCGGCTCATTGGCCAGCGATATCATTCCCAACTCTGTGACTGTGATACGACATTGCGCCTTCAGAGGTTGCAGCTCATTGGCAAACGCGGCCAACCCCAACTCTGTCACCGAGATTGGACAAAAGGCCTTTCAAGGTTGCGGCTTGGCAAGCGTCATCCCCATTTCCGTCACCAAGATAGAATGTGATGCCTTCGAAGGCTGTAGCGTTTTGCCACGGTGAGTACGATGCAAGGTGGATTGCTTGAGGGTCGCTTTGTCGTTTTGGACTGGGAACTGTGTTGCTTCTTTGCTGCGGCAGAGACATCACTGGCACCCCAAACCTGTCGCAGTTTCAGCCGAATGGCGCCGTAGTCAAAACATCAGGCAGCCATTGAGCGAAAGAGGTGTCAGCAAACCCCACGTTTTCCAAGTTGTCCCCTGCAAATGAACAGAAGGAACGGTTCCACAAAGGGGGGTTCCCCACAAGGAGTTTCCTCTACAAATCATGTTGGTTTTTTGGAGTTTCATATTGTTGGCAGGGAAGTATTGAGCGCCACGTTGCTTTCACAAAAACACCTGAATCCTTCCCATGCCGTTGACCTGTGGGCTTGGTTGGGTGGGCGCAATTCGTGGTAAAGCAGACGGATGCAAATTAAGTGCCCGGGAAAAGCGATGTGGGCCTTCCATCCAAGGTTTGGTTGAAATCATGATAGAAGGGACCCGTTCTCATCAAATTCTACACACCTTTCTGAAAAAGTGGGTGTCGGGGTAGCTGCATTGAATTCGGTGAGGTGATTGCCCTTCCTACTTGATGGGGTTGACCACGGCAAAATCATGCCGGATCGTGTCAAGGGCTGTTGCTGACATCTAGGTTCCTTTGATGTGTCCCGTGATCGAATGAGAAAAAGAAGCCTTCGCTAGCCCAACCATCAAGCAAGAGGACCCGGGGAGCAGATGAAGCATTCGAAGTGCTGACAAACATGACTGTTCGTGAGTTCAAGAAGCAGCTGCACAAGTGGCTGCCCTGCGCTGATGAGTCACAGCGCAATATGAGCTCGGTAGAAGTGGTTGTTGAAGACGAACAGCTCTTGAACAACGAGGAATTGCTGTCAGAGGCCATCCCAGGTGCAGAAGATACGGCTTTCCTCAGCGTCAAGCCGGTGACGTGCTGCAGCATTTCAACATCCGGCTGCGACCGGATGGATTTTCGCGTGCTGGAATTTCCAGCAGACGCAACTGAGATTAAGGATTTTGCCTTTCAAGCTTGCAGTATGCTGGTGAGCGTGACCATCCCCGAATCTGTGACTGTGATAGGATACGCTGCCTTCACTCGTTCCAGCTCACTGGCAAGCGTGGACATCCCCAATTCGGTCACTCACATTGGAGAATGTGCCTTCCAGGGTTGCAGCTCATTGGCAAGCGTTATCATTCCCGACTCTGTGACTGTGATACGAAATGGTGCTTTCCAGGATTGCAAGTCATTGACAAGCGTAACCATTCCCATTTCAGTCACTGAGATGAGAGCCTATGCCTCGAAGGTTGCAGCTCCCTTGCAAGTGTTGCCATCCCCAATTCTGTCACGGAGATAGCGAAGTCTACCTTCGCAGGCTGCAGCTCACTGGCAAGCGTTGTTATTCCCGACTCGGTGACTGTCATAGGAATTCATGCCTTCAGAGGTTGCAGCTCATTGGCAAGCGTCGTCATCCCCAATTCTGTCAGCATAGGATGCGACGCCTTCAAAGGCTGTGGCGTATTGCCAGGGTAAGTACGTTGCAAGGTGCCCGAAACCTGTCGCAGCTTCACCCGAATGGCGCTCATGTGAGCCGGAGTGCGACACATCGCACAGCAGCAGTTCTGGAATTGTCAGCATGCGTTAAGAAAAAAAGGGGCGCGCCAAAACCTTTTGAAGAAACAGGTGTAGGTGAGGCCACGCTTTTTACCTCGGGCAAAAGTAAGTTTCACCGAACTTCCCATGGAACACCTGAATATGAATGCTCACCTCTTGATCCGTGGCATGTCACTGCAGTGAGCTTCTTCAACCGGAGCACGTTGAGAGAATGGCTACGGTAAGTACTGTTGTCGCGCCCATGTTTTCTTAGCGAGGTACTTTTTGATGGCTATGAATAAGTGTTGAGCCACCTAAGGTTGGCGGAAAGCCGTTTGGGCCCTCGGTCCCCAAGGTCGGCTAGGAACACTCTGGTCGAGGGATTCGGATCGGGTTCTGAGAGCTGCTGGGGCGGGGTGTCCGATGTTGCATCTCTTTATGGCCTGGTTGAGGCGCCACGAAGGGACAAACCGGATGTTTTTTTCCCGCTGGTCAAGCAACTCTTTTGCCGCATCTCCACACAAGGCGAGCTTTTGAGAAAAAAATAGGCGCAACCTGCTCAAGGAGATTTAAAAAAAAAAAAAAAAAAAACATCCGGTGCCGGTCCTGCTCAATTTGGACCGCTCTTTGATCCAAAGTCAGAAGAGGTCGCCCTTGAAATCTACTTGAGCGCCCAAAAACCTCTATCGACCCTTTAGTGGTTCTACTACCTGGGTTGGTTTGGGTAAAGGCTGCATGCAGCTTTATGACCATGTTGGTGGAACCAAAAGAAGGGATTTTGGCGCTCACGTGATATGAATGTGAGCGTTCGAATTTGGATTTTCTACATGGAGCAGATCACTTTAGACCTGAGAACCCGATGAACACCGTTGCTCTCCTGAAGATTAATGGCGGTGCCACACAAACCAGCAAATATAGACAAAGCTCTTTTTGGTGGACCCCCGCTTGATTTGCATGCTAGTGTTTTGCTTTGACGGACCCCGGTTTCTGATGTCCCAGAAGCCTTTTTGTTGCAGGTCGGATCTGTTTGGCACGGGTTTTTGTTCCCCCAGAGCAATAAGGCACTCCCGAAGTTGACCATTTACCAAATGACACTAGTTTCTTGGGAGCCGATACTTGACCTGCAAAGCATTGGCTACCCGTGAGCATAGCCCAAGCACACCCATCCTGAACATGGCAGCCAGCCCCTGCCCAACTGGCCAAAGAGGCTAGTTGACCAGAACGCGTCAAACAGCGGTTGGGCAAGAAGAGCTTTGCCATGGCGAGAATGATTACGGTGAGACAGCTGTCTGGAGCAGAGGAAGCAATCGAAGTGCCGGCGGACATGACTGTCCGTGAGTTCAAGAGGCAGCTGCACAGGTGGCTGCCCTGCGCTGACGAATCAATGCGCAAGATGAGCTCGGTGGGAGTGGTTGTTGGAGACAAGCAGCTCTTGAACAACGAGGAGATGCTGTCAGAGGCCATCCCAGACGCAGAAGTTATGGCTTTCCTTAGCGTCAAGCCAGTGGTGTGTTGCAGCTTCTCAACATCTGGCGGCGATTCTGACGATTTTCGCGTGGTGGAAATTCCAGAAGGCGCGACTGAGATTAAGGATTTTGCCTTTCAAGGTTGCAGCATGTTGAGCGTCACCATTCCCAATTCTGTGACCGTCATAGGAAATGGGGCCTTCGAAGATTGCAGCTCGTTGGCAAGCGTGGCCATCCCCAATTCCGTCACTGAGATAGGCGGGTTTGCTTTTCGAGGGTGCAGCTCATTGGCAAGCATTGCCATACCCAACTCCGTGACTCTGTTTCCAAATTGTGTTTTTCAAGGTTGCAGCTCATTGACAAGCATGACCATCCCCGACTCTGTGACTGTGGTAGGAAAGTTTGCCTTCCGAGGATGCAGTATGTTGGCGAGCGTTTGCATCCCCAATTCTGTCACTGAGATACAAGATTCTGCTTTCGAATGTTGTAGCTCTTTAGCAAGGGTGGCCATCCCCGACTCCGTGACTGTGATAGGAAGGTTTGCTTTCCAACATTGCACCTCATTGGCAAGCATAACTATTCCCAGTTCTGTGACTGAGATTAAAATCGCTGCCTTCCAAGGTTGCAGCGCATTGGCAAGCGTGACCATTCCCAAATCTGTCAGCATAGGCTGTGCTGCCTTCAAAGGCTGTACCCTATTGCCAGGGTGAGTACGTTTCCAGCTGGGCGGCTTTACCACGGTTGCCCTGGACTGGGAACTGTTTTTGCCCAAGGGGACGGAGGTATCACGGCCGCTCGTGCGAGCCTGTGCGCTACACATCGCGCAGCGGCCGTGCGGATGGGCCTTCTGAAGAAACAAATATGAGTCAGGCCAGAAGGTTGCCTTAGGCAAGAGCAAGTTTCACCGAACTTCGACCTGAAATTGAGTAGTCATGCCCAGGATGCCTCTTGATCGACCTGTGCCTCGCTCGCGGTTTGGCAGTTTGGCGTGGGTTGACACCGTAGCATGTCACTGCCAGCTCCTTCAACCGAAGCCTGTTGAGTGCAAAGCACATGCCCGCCTCTCTGGGGGGAAGCCGTTTGGGCTGAGGCGTGGGGATGTCAGATTTTCTATCTCCTTACATAGGACTGGAAAAGCGTATGGTCTGGTTGAGTTGCCACGAAAGCACAAGCCGTTTGTTGTCCACTGGTCAAACAGCTCTGTTGCCTGAAGCAATTCCACACCAAGCGAATTCGACCGCAGACCGAGCTCAGGCGCAACTTGCTCAAGGCCATACCTGTGTGTGTGTGTGTGTTTGGTTGCAAGTGGGAACCTTGCACGTCGCTCTTTGGCAGCTTGTTGTGAGAGGTTCTTAAACTTATCCTTGCTGTTGTCGACATCACCAATGTCAATCGAGTTTGCTCCAGGTGATGATTCATGAAATACGGGGAACTCGTCTGGTTAAAAGTCAGAAGCTGAGGTTGCCCTTGGAATCTACTTGAGTGCCCAAAAACTTCTATTGGCTCTTTTAGCGAGTCTACCACCCGGTTTAACTTGGGCAAAGACCGCATAAACGTTTGTGACAAGGTCGGTAAAACCAAAAGACAAATATGGGTTTGCGGCGCTCGCTGGGTGACAGGGTTGACAACGGTAGAAAGCACTTTGCCTATGAATTTGAGCGTTCGATTTTGGATTTTCTATCAAGGAGCGGATCATTTTAGTTCTGATAACCGGATGAGCACAGGTGCTCTCCTGAAGAATCCTGCGCTGCCCTAAGAAACATGATCAACCTTTTTTTGGGGGACCACTGCTTGATTTCCAGCTGGGCAAACTGAGTTTGTTTCTTGCCACCCTTGCCTTCCTCACGCCAGACGCATCGCTTACCTGCTTGGTTCTTTGCTTCTTATATTTCAACCATCAAAATCAGGTGATTCTCAATGTGTGTGTGTGTGTGCCCTACTAAAAATAAACTACAGAAAAATGAGTACCCTTATTCTAACCTCTCTACTCTAGGACCTAGTTTCATGGAACAGAACTTGCCACCCTTTAACAAGCAAAAGGAACATGACGATGGATTATCTAGTAGAAGGGTAATTGGGATCCACGGGTAGATGGCTCGCAACAGCTGGGATGAAAACCTATGAGAACTGGGATAAACCACCAACTGGTCCACTGGTGAGAGACTTTGCCGAATTCAACTCGACATTCAGTTCCACCTTTTGACATCCGCTTGACAACCGCAAGGCCCTTTACGTCTTTACATGGGATGACCATTGGGGAAGAGCACTAAAATATGTTTCCCGCTCAATGGGAAAAGTTAGCCATGGCCATTTGGGGGGGCCGAAAATATTGCTCAACCCCTATTTCAGCGGCAGGCAGGTGACCCTTTAAGTATATGGTAAGTGAGAACGAGTGACTAACACCCCCATTTTGAGAAGGCTGCAAATAGCAACAAAGCTTCTTGCTCACTTGCCAAGGATTGCCTTCTTGCTTAAGAATGTCAAAACCCTCCCCACCCCCAGCCCTTGTTGGTTTTAAAGCCAATCTATCACAGCTGGACAATGTCCATTGTTAGGGGACGGAAAGGCAAATGCAGAATTACATGTCAAGTCATCGCTTTAGTGGGTGGCTGCCAAAACGCACAACGTTGTTTTGCCAAGGATTTCACGTAACCCTTGGTTGGTGGTCTGGCGATTCGAACTCCTGGTTCTTCTTAAGGATTGCAAATGAGAGTCAGGGATCAAATGGATGGAAAAAGACTTCAGCCCCCCTTTTTCCCCGCCCCCTCCCCCCCAAGAGAAAATCATATGGCATTTGTTTTGCCATGCCAAGGATTCAACATCGAAACAAAACATGCACCCCCCACCCCCCACCACCACCCCCAAAAAAGATCGTGACCTTCCCTCCCCCTCGCCCCTCCATCCTCCCCCGTCCCCCCTCCGCGCATGGCCTCGGCTTCCACGCGGCTTCCATGTGGCTCGCGCTGAGGTTTTGCAGCTGGACGCCGCGCTGCTGCAGTGGACGACGACCGCGTGGCTCCGCGCCATGAAGGCGACAAAGAACCCGTCGACCGGAAGAAGAAACTTCCGTGTGCTTAAGATTGTGTTTATCATTACTGTTACTATTATATTAGTATTATTATTAATATTATTATTAATAGTGTTTTTAATAGTATTATTAATATTACTATTCATATTATTATTAATAGTATTAATAATATGATTAATAGTATTATTAGTAGTATTTTTTAAGACTATTGTTATTAATGTTAATATTATTAATAGTAGTATTGTGAATAGTATTATTACTATTAATATGAATATTAATAATATTATAAGTAATTGTATTATTAATATTATTATTTTATTATTATTAATAGTATTAATAGAAAAATAATGTTATTATTAGTATTAATACCATTATTAATATCATTTTTATTTTATTATTATTAATATTAGTATTAATTATTATTATTATTTATTATTATTATTATTATTATTATTATTATTATTATTATTATTATGTTTATTATTATTGTTCTTAATAATAGTATTAGTATGATTATTACTAATATTGTTATTAATATTAATACTAATATTATTATTTATTTTGTTTATTATATTATTACTCATAGTAGTACTGTTTATATTATTAATTTAATTATTATTATTATTATTGGTTCCTTAATAATATTATTTAATGATAATATTATTATCATTATAATTATTATTATTAGTATTAATATTAGTATCATTATTAGTATTACTATTTATAATATTATGATTATTAGTATGTTCCCTTGTTGGTTTAAAAGGGTATCTATCACTATCTAGTTGTCGAAATTTCCCACCAATTTGGTTTTCATGGTTTACCATGGTTGCAAAGTGATGCAGGGTGTTTGCCATCCACAGTAGTGTGTTTCCCCCTGTTGGTTTTAAAGGGAATCTATCACTATCTATGTGTTGAGTTTCCCCTGTTGGTGCAGGGCTCCTTACAAGATACATTTTGCCCATTTGAAGCATGGCTTTTTCCACCCAAAGAAAGGGACACCACCATTTACAAGGCAATGTTCAGGTGTATAATGTAAGGATTCCTGTTTTCCCACAAAGCTGGTTTCAAAGGGACTCTTAACACATAGAAGGTCTTAACACATAAGATTTGGTTCAGAATATGTTGGTTAAACGTTAATATTATGGTTAGAATAGTTGGTTAAGAATAGTTAGGAATATGTTGGTTAAGAATATGTTGGTTGATGTTATTTAAGATTTGGTGAAGATTTGGTGAAACTTTCATTTGGTTAAGATGTCATTCACTTTCACAAGGTTGAGAATATTATTTATTTCCCCCTGTTGGTTTAAAAAGGAATCTATCACTATCTATTTTATATTTGCTTATTTTACCCTGTGGTTAAGAACATTTTGGTCAAGATGATTTAAGAGTTGGTGAAGAGCTGGTCAAACTTTCATTTGGTTAAGAGTCCATTCACTTTCACAAGGTTTAGAATATTATTTTATTCTCCCCTGTTGGTTTTAAAGGGAATCGATTTCACTACTGCAAATATGGTTTATTTTTCCAGGGGACTTAAGCAAATGGAGGGAAACGAACGGTTCGCATCAGTCGAGTGAGGAGGTAAAGGCGTCGAAGCCGTAGATAGACGTCGAGGGTTGGACCATAGGTGTCTGGTCTTCTTTGGTTTTCCCCTGATTTCTTTTTTCATGGGACAATCCTCAATGTGAAGGTAACCCCAATGTGGTGGTCTGAAATCAGGTCTTACCCTAGGTGGCTTGGATTGGATTCCGAGTTGAACCCTCAGTTGGTGACATGGATTGGTTTGGGGGGTTGAACCCCTTGTGGAGGGTAAATCCCTCCTTAACCACTTTGGATTGGTGTTGCAACATGTTGCAACCATTTACCAAGCACACCCATCCATTTTTACAAAAGGCCGCCTATTCAACCTGTGGTTGCCCGATTTGGTCCATAAGTCAAGGTTCCAAAAGCGAGTACCTAATATATACGAGGTCAAAAGGGTTGGCAAGTGAGGATTGAAAACGATTTGAACCTTTGAGTTACTTCAGTTGCAAAGCAGTTTGGGATTTAATCAATCAGAAGTGATATCATAGCGCCGCGGGGATCTTTAAAGCAAACATGGACCGGTTCTCAATTTCGAACCCTCTTTTTTTGCGTGGAGGTCCCAACAAGGACGGACCCGTGGTGCAATTGCCCCAAGTTGGTCTTTGAACTAGTGGGGCTGGCGGACTCGTAGCCCCAACACCTAGCGGACTGGTGGGAAATTGCATGAAACGACCTTCATTCCAGACACGGCTCAGGATTTGCTTTGAGTTGGGGGAGGGGTGAAAGGAGCTGCGTCAAGCCTGATATAAAACGCCGGTTCGATCTGCGTCGAACCATTTGTTTTGTGTTCTCTGACTTGCAACCAAAGCGTATTGACTGGCGTTTGACCCTTTGTTTCATCTGTTTGGGCTAGTGTTTGCCAGAGGAGTCATGTGTTCACCTCGTGAACCCGCGCTCATTAGGGCCCGGAAGATTGGCGATGCTTTTCTATCCCGAAATGGATTTGAAACGTGTTGGTCGCAGACTCGGTTTCACTCAGCAGCACTTGAGGCCAGACGGGAACCCGGGAGTTGCATTTGGATTGGTTGAGGAGATCGCTTCGGGATTGATGGGAGATGGGCTCGGAATCGGACCGACACCAAATTTGGGGTCTCAAAAAAATAGGAGACCTAGATAGCCAAGCTGCGATCGCTTTTTTCAGTCACTGCTGGTGTTTGAGGTTTTGACATGGAAAAAAAAGGTCGCTGGCGATCCAGGGAGCCCCACATGAGCAGTTGAAGGTTAGTAAGGACCAATCCCAGCCATAAATAGCTGCGGATATCCGCCTTCTTAATTCTTTACATGGTTCTGGGCTTGAACCATTTTAGTACCGGGTTTTGATTGTGGCTCACATGCAGTGGCGTGCGGCGTCTCATTTGTCACGTGGGTGGCGAAGCACCTTCCGAGCTGCGGAGGCCTCATCCCTGCGCAAACGCTTCGTGAAAGGCCGGGAATCCGAAACTTCCATTTGCTGAAACGAATATTTGTTCTTTTCCCCAACGGAATGATGATTCTCCTGTAAGTACCAACAAACAATGTTTTACCATGGTTGCAAAGTGATGCAGGATTTTGGCCATCCATAGTATTGTTTAGGTTTCCGTGGTTGGTTTTAAAGGGAAGCAATTTCACTACTTGAAGAATGATTATTTTTTCCAGGGGACGTCTCAGCAAATGGAGGGAAATGGTCTCCCCCGGTCCCTTTGCAGGCCGTGAGTCACTCCCAGGCGTTTGTTGGTTTTTTGGCTGGTTTTTTAGGTGGGCTTGGTGGTAATGAAACCCGGTTCGGGGGATAGCCCAGTGGAGCTTTCAAGGTTCAACTCACACCACAGACTTGAGCTCACTTTCTTTTGTTGCTTGGATAGTAACTAAGAAGTTCGGGCTGGACCCGAAGCATATTCCCTGGAAAAAATTGGGTATAGCAACCCAAAATGATGGAGTGAGGTAGGTGCTTCTTTTTTTAACTCAATGGGGCAATGGGTAGTTTGTGTGCAAGTTTGTGTGTGTCCAGGTAATTAAGTGTTGGTAGCCCATAATAAATAGGAGCCCCAGGGCTAATGCTAGCCCCGGATTATACGCCCTAGTTGACGAATAGGAGGGTGTTCCCTTTTGGCGCGTTTATCACTGGAGGGAAACACCCCCCATTAATAGAACTGGTGTATTAATCTGGCTTCACCATTATCTGAGGAAAAGTTGTTTGCATTCGAAGGTTCTATGATACGTAGGTTTTACCAGACGGATGCTGGACAAGTTGGCTCACCCAAACCTTGGATCTCCTCATATGTGGGTCCTGTTTTGAGGCTTCCTTTTGTCCCTTTGATATCTCAAGCAAAAGCTACCACCAAAAAGGGAAAACATGGTTGTTGTTGGGAAACATTTTACATTGTTGCTTATTGTGATGAAGTGGTTGAAATCCAACCACTGAACTGCTAAAAAATTTAAATGTTTGCTCCCCTTCCAACGTCAAGCAAGAAAAGGGTACCCTCCTTGTAAAGGTAACTGTCAGGACCCTGCGAGGTTCCATGTTTACGGATGGGTTCGCACCACCTAAGAAACCCTGGTTTATGGTATGATTCTCCTGTAAATACCAACAAATTATGGTTTCAACCATGGTTCCTTAGGTGGTTGAAACCATAACGCTTGTTGGTGTCTATAGGGGACTCAAATCATTCCGTTGGGTTTCTGAACGGTGGTGCCTAAGAGGATTTTGTCCACCCGCGATTGTCACATTTCAAGGGAAACCTCGGCTCAAAGAAAGCCCGGCAACACAGCATCAACTGATTGCGACCTCCATTGTGGTGTATTGGTTGAAATCCAAACACTGAACTGCTGAAATGTTCAAAATCAAACTACCAGGGGACTGAAGGAATTAGTCGATGTGTCCACCTACCAGGATTCCCAAAATGGGACTTCAGCAAATGGAGGCGGGGTTCCTTTCTCCTTTCAAACTCAAGGAGCCAAACAGGGGCCTCCGGCATAGGTGCGGACGAATTCGGATAGATAGTTTCAGCCGGAATACTTGTTGTTTTTTGTTTTTGTTTTGTTGTTTCTTGTTTTTTCTTTTTTGTTTTTTTCTTCGGACATGTTACAATGTTGGGTACTGTGGATCGACGAAATCCATTTCGCAGCACCTAGGAAACCCTGGTTGGTTCCCCTATAAATGCCAACTAGCAATGGCTTCCCATGGTTTCACAGTGGTGCAGAGTTGTGTCGATCAGTATCGATCGGGTTCGACTTCCGTCAGTCAATGTGTGAATCCCCCCGACACGTTTTGACCAGCTGGAAATGAGTGGGTCAAAATGGGAAAGCGCCAAAATCTATGTCTATGTTGTACTTTCTGGTGGTGTCCCTTGAAATGCTGACCAAAAAGGGGACCCTCAAAAAAGACAGACCCAAATTCTGAGAAAGAAACATCCCGAGGCGTTTTAAACCATTCAATCCAACCATGTTTTGGGGACCCCTTTTTGCACAAAAACATATGTTTTTCCGGCTGCTGTTTGAAATGTCGCCTCTCTCGGGTGTTCGGCCCTCCGCTCGCCTGAGTCACAATCGGCGAATCCCAATTCGGTGCCGCCGCCGCCTTTGTTCTTTGGTTTGGGTAGTTGCCATTTTGATACCGGGTTTTGATTGGGACTATGAGGGAATTCTCGTGTCCTGGTGGTTTCGCCTGAAGCCCACTTAAAAAAGGGTCAATGGACTCTCAAACTACCCTTGAAGAGTAGGTCTTGATTGTGATACTCACAAACGGAACTCAGCGAGTAAGCCAAAAAAACAAGGCGCGCACTGGTTTGGTCGTTGCTTTTTTTGGGAAAGCCTCGCCAAGGGGCACCAGCGCTGAAGCTTCTTTGTGATAGCCCACGCTTTTTTCTCCAGGCATTTCCAGCAAAGTGGAATCTTGGTCAGGGCTCCTTAAAAGATACGGTTTGTCCATTTGAAACATGGCTTGTTCCACCAGAATAAAGGGAAACCACCATTGACAGGGCAATGTTCAGGTGTATAATGCATCCGGATCCTTGTTGGTTTGCTTCCATTTCTATCAGCGCCGTCCATTTCCATTCTGAACCCAGGGATCCGGATCAAAACCCCAGGGGAAACAGCTTTTGAAAAGAACGATGCTTGAAAAGGATGGGAAAGGAATCAACCCCTAGACCATGTCGTTTTCTTGCGGGGGGCTTTTGGGTTTCGGGGTCCAACAGCTTCTCGGCCATCGCGAACGTCAGGCAGCCGCTCCTTCTGTGAGACCGTGGATGGCTTGTGCCAGGCAGCACGGCTCCAGGCGATTCGGCCCGAGCCCCCGAGAATCCGAGTGGGCCCCGGCATTCCCGGCCTTGGCTTTAGAAGATGTTCTTATTTCCCCTGGTTGGGGTTCAAAGGAATTTATCACTCTGCTGGAAATATGTGTGTGTGTTTTTTCCAGGGGTCTTAACCAAATGGAAGCCTGTGTGCTGTGCCTGGAGTCTCCATGACCCTTAAAAATGGTTGGTCATTAGCCAAAATAAAGGGGTCATGGACCCGTTTTTGAAGGGTCATGGAGACTCCAGGTGCTTGTTTGTTTGCCTAGGTCCCCCAGCTAGGTGCCAACTTTTACCGTTTCTTTTTTGGGAGAGAGTTCCCCTACTAAAATAGACAAAAAAAAGGGTACCCAGATTCCGACCTCTCTACTGGAGGACCTAGTTGGTCCAAATCCTGATGACACACATGGGACGAATCCAAGGCAAATGTGTGTGTGTGTGTGTCTCTCCGTGTTCGTGTTCGTGTTTGCGTTTGTGGTTGTGTTTGTGTTTTTGTTTTTGTTTTTGTTTGTGTTTGTGTTTGTGTTTGTGTTTGTGTTTGTGTGTGGTTTTGTTGGGTTTAAAGGGGTTCCGCACGTTCTTTCTTGCTTTTTTCTTCGGGACCATGGGGGACCCCTTTAAAGTCAGCCAACACAAAGCGTGCCAAACCTTCCCCCATAGTCCGAGGGATTGCAGCTTTTTCTGAAACGTGCCCTGTTGCACCCTTGACTTTCCTTCATGTTTAGAGCTGGTCAGCACTATCCACGTGTCATCCTTCAAGCGCGGTCAATTCGGACTTGGGAGTGCTTGGTTTAAGGGTAGACCTTTCTGTTAAGTGTTTTAAAGGCAAGGTAAAAGGAACACGAGCATGGGAGGGTACACTTAAACATGACACACCCAAATGTTGTGTTTTTTTCAGGGTTGTTTTTTCTGGAAGATCAGGGTTTTCCCATGGTCAATGCCTCTTGGAGTCAGGGCACAGCCGAGAAAAAGGTTGCCAGTGGGTGTAGGGGGAACATCTCAAAGACGACACAACTTATTGCATCAACGAGGGAATAACCTGGAGAGAATCCATCCATCCTATGGTTTTCCTTAAAACCAAAAAACAACTGTTAAAAAAAGGTAAAACAACACAAAGAAAAACGGGGTAAACACAAATCAATCGGTCAAAAAACAACGGTTTATTCCCTTTCAACCCCCGGGCTCGGAAAGTGATTCCCTACCGATTTCAATCCCGCGCACTGAACTTCCGCCCGTTGGGTCCAAAAAAAGATTTGGAACGCGGGAGGTCGTCGGCGATCACCGCTCGGAGGCCTTCCTAAACTTGAGCCATTTGGGACCATCGGCAAACAAGAAGCTCATAATGTTGACCCCGGATCAATAAACGTGGTTCTTATTGATCAGGGCTCCTTAAAAAGATACGCTTTGCCCATTTGAAACATGGCTTTTTTCACCAAAATAAAGGGAACCTACCATTTACAAGGCAATGTTCAGGTGTTTCATGTAAAGATCCCTGTTGATAGGGGTGTTCATTACATTTGTTCTAGCCAATCCACGGTAGTGAGTAGGTGGCATGGGCGTGTCTTTTTGTGACCTAAAAAATTGACACCCCCTCAAAGTTTGAAGGCATCTGCGGAAATGTGGAACCCGGATCTAATTAGAACCCGTCCTATTCATAGTGGGGTGTTGGCCCCTCCAACAGAAATTCCCACTAGACCAGGGACACCCCCCAATTAAGAAACTGGGGTTGATTAATCTGGGATCCACATTATTTTTTTGAACGGGGGGGTAAACGCCCAATCCTGACCGGCCCCTTGTGTCGAGCACTCCTCTTGGCGATGGTAGGGGGTTCTGACTGGTGTCAAAATTGAGCAACGGTCAACATATACCATCCTTTGCTGTAGTGGAAGGGATGGCATGGGAGGCAGTCACCAAAATACAGTTCTCAACAGTAGTTTGCTCAACAAGTTCCCGTGTCACTTGGGGACACCGTGGCATAAACCTTAACAACCACCTTGGTAGAAACGAATGGGCCGAATGGGTGTTGGGGCACTGCTGTTGTGAATTCGGAACATTGTGCAGACACGTCCAGAGGAATTCCTGCTGTTCCCAGAATCAGACACCCGCATTTGGACGATGTTTCCCCCCCCCCCTCCCCCTGGAAACAACCAGGAAACCAAGTACCGAGGGAAAAGACGGAGGAACTGGTTGGAGGATGTTTTCTGGGTTTCCCCCTCTCGGCTTGCATTGGCGCGATGCTGAGCTTCTGGCTGCCTGAGGGTGCCGTTTTGGCACCAGCTGTTGAGCATTGGGGTCTCTGAACTGTGGATGGTTGAGATCGAAATCCGCGAGTCTCGAAGCACCTCAAAAACCATGGTTCAAGCCATAATTTGTTGGTATTTACAGGAGAATCAGACCATAGACCTGGGTTTCTGAACGGTGGTGCGAAATGGAGTTCGCAACCATCCACAGTAGCTCTGAGGTGTTTCTCGAGATCATGGTCTCATAAACTGGTGGCTTCTTGCCGGGTTTTCTGGAACGGGGTTTAAACCCGGATTAAGCCGGTTGATCAATCGGGGGGTGTTCCCCTAGTGGGGATTAATCAGGGGCCACCAGCAAGCAATTCCAGTGCCTCGATCCCCCTGGCAGGGCTCCAATTAAAAGATCTCCATTTTGCGTAACCAGTTGAAACATGGCTGGCTTTTTCAACACCAAAATAAAGTTGCACACCACCAAATAGACAAGTTGCAATGTTCAGGTGTATAATGCATCCGGATCCCTGCCTGGTTACTACGCAGGTCAACGCAAAACGGGGAGGGGAGAAATGCCGCGTTTCCATCTAAGGGTAGAAGTACGTACCCCTTGGCTTCCGTTGTTTCCAACCCACTTTATAAGGGGTATATACCCCTTTTGGGGAGAGGGGTATGAACATCAGCAGGCCTTTTGGGTTCATTTGTCCAAGGGGTAGGTAAAAGGGGTATGTACAAGCACCCCTGCATTCCAGCGCCAGGCCATTTTCACTGGGTGGGTGGACGTGCTCGTCATCTCCCAGACGGCAGCCATGCGCGCGGCACTGAGATACGCGACATCGTGCAAACCAATAAACGGCGTCCGATCGCTTGCGCCAAAAGAAAGTGTGTCCATGTGGGTCTGTCTTTTTTGAGGGGTACCCTTTTTGGGGGTGGTTGTTGGAGGGGGGCCAAAAAAAGGTGCGCCAAAGCCGCCCTGATTCGTACGTTGGTCCACGCTTTGCCTGCTGAAAACTGCCAGTTTTTGACTCAAGTGATCACGGACCCCATGAAGGGTTCTAGGAGATTTCTTTGCTTCACGTTGGCAAGTGCAAATTCCAGATGTCTTTGGGATTCCAGAAACGGTCGGTTTCAGCCCAGGCCGGAGCCATGGCGGCTGTTTGATACGAATTCGGCCCTGTCCAGATCCGGCATCTCTTTCTCGGGACCAACCGATCCAGAAAGTCGGACCCATCTGATATCCTCAATATTAGAGCGAGTGGCTCTAACAGTGGATGGTTGCGAACTCCATTTCGCACCACCGTTCAGAAACCCAGGTCTATGGTCTGATTCTCCTGTAAATACCAACAAATTATGGCTTCAGCCATGGTTTTTGAGGTGCTGCGAGACTCGCGGAGTTCGATCTCAACCATCAGGTCCGATTTCCACGGCCCGATTTTCTGGGCCGTTACCAAGGCCATGACGTCTCTCCGCCAATTCCCTCCACTCCGATCCCTCCCAGCATGGCCTTCACTATGGGTGGGAGGGTACCAGTCTGAAATGTCAGCTCACTGAGCTCATGGGCAAGAACCTTTACTTGGCTCCCAGCATGTTACTTTCAAGGGCCGTTGGACCCGCTGGAAGTTAAACTTTTGGAGGGGGATTTGAGAGCAGCCCAGTTTAGAAAGACAATTTCTTCCATTTGCTTAAGAATATATTTGTTACCCCCTGTTGGTTTTAAAGGGAGTCGATTTCTCTACCGGATTTTTTTTTCCAGGGGACTTACGCAAATGGAGGAATTTGAGTGGTAAATAAAGAGAGATCTGCCTTTTTGTTGGCCAGTCGACTCAGGAAGTGAGCCTTTCTCCTGGGGTTCACCAGGCACAGGTTAAGGTGAATGGCGTCCCTTTCACTGTTTAAAAACGTTGTTTGGGTCCTGAAAACGGGCCCCCAATTTGGGCCCCCAATTTGACGGTTGTCCCTGGTTCCCCTTTAAAACCCTAAAATGTGGCTCAGAAACGACCCCCCCAAATCAACTGCCCACCAATTGGTGCCGTGGGTCGGGGATTTCGGGATTGATTTTCCTAAGGGCCGGGCAAGGTGAGCTCAAACTAAGAATACCCCGGCCACCAAGGAGCCAACAAACAAATTGATTTTTACCAGCTTGGTCTGTACACTCAGTTGCCCCAAGCCGACCTTTTGACCTTTTGGTTTCTCCTTTTTTTGGTCTAGTTTTAGTCATGGCCCCAAAAGGTTGACCTTTTATTTCTGGGTCCTTTGGAGAAGTGAGTAAAATGAAGATAAACCATCAATGATTTGCAAGGCAAGACACACCATTCGCAGTATTCCCCCTCTCTTTAAAGTGAGTTTAAGCAAGTTGCGCCACTCTGAGAGTCTCGCGCTGGAGGCTTGGCAGCTCGGCCGCTGGGATCGTGACGTGTTCCTCGCCCGGAAGCGAATTGAGGAATCGCTGGGAGTCGCCCAATGCGAAGACGAATGGAGCGCTCAGTGTACCAAAGTTGCTGGCGGCTCGTTTCATTTCAAGGCTCGTTGTTGACGGGCTGACGAGCTGAAAGGCAACTCGTTGGATGCGTCCAGGCGGCGCGTCTGCGCGCCGGCGCGTCTGCGCGTGGTTGCCGGTCTCCAGGTGCAAGCTGTGGGCCGTCGCGGGCCTTTGCAGAAACTACGTCAAGGCGATTGCCACTTAGAACTTTCTCCGACGGTGAGTGGGTCAGAGAACTTAGAACACACAAAGACCATTGGGTCTTTATGAAACCCAAGACCCTCATAGCTCATAACACCTGACCAATGATTACCACTGTGGGTGGCTGGGGGTCAGTCCCCTTGTGACAAAGTGCAACTGGGGGGAAGGAAGGCCCTATGGTTTAACTGGACCTCGTTTGGGTGGTGAAGCTCCTGAATGGTGCATACAGTAATTCTGGTCAAATGAACCCCATGGTCTTTTGTTGGAGCTGGTTCTAAGTCTAGGTTTTCCAGGAAGGTTCCCCCACTAAAATGTGTTACTCAAATCGACATCCTGAAAAAAGTTGGTACACTTATTCTAACCCCTGTACTGGAGGACCTGGAAAAGGAAGACTGGAAATCCATGAAAGTTCCGTCTTTCTACAAGCCGAGCTACCCCATGACGTGGGGGGTTTCTCGGGTGAAACGTCCGAGGTCTCGGCATCCGCGCCCCGAAGTCGGCGCAGCTGGGGCACTGGGGTGCTCATGTCTCCAGGCGGAATCCCGGCTTTGGGTTTCGGGAGTCCTCGGTTTGGTTAATGTTTTTCCCCTGTTCATGGTTGTTGGGAATTTCTAGAAGTTGCGGTTTGGTTGGACGGGAAATCCAGTGTTTTTTTGTGCAGGGGCCCAGGCCCTTCCCTAAGGGTCCAACGATTGATTTTGGGGCAACATGGGTTGTTTTTGAGGGTCCATGAAGGCCGGGGTTCTCCATTGGAGGGTCCGGGGGTCTGCATTGGAGGGGTCATGACCCTTAGGTAAACCAAGACTTGGCGATCGTGAAAAAACTGGCACCCACTAGAAGTTGCGTAGCTGAAGGGAAATCAAGTCTTTTGCGTGCAAGCCCAGGGATCAGAAGAAGGATGGCCACGATTGGGGTCGGCGGCGAGTTTTCGTTCCGGGCCTCGTGCGGTGTCCAAGGACCTCAACTTTGCGCACGGGGCCTCTTGGGGACTGGCCAAGGCTGCTTTCCATTAAAGAGTAGGGGGTCTTTTTGCCACCTTTGGTCGAAAAATGATCGACCCCCTTGTAGTGAAGGACTCCCCCCTTTTTGAGGGGGTCGCCAATTTTCTCACAAAAGGTGGCAAAAGGAGCCCTTTGTTGAAGACGCTCCGAGCCGGGGACATGAAACGAGACTGCTCTGCGCACCTCGCCTGGCCCAAACGTCTAAAAATGCGGATGGTGAAAGGATCCAGTTATTTATCCAGGTAGCAGTTTCTGTGTCTTTGCTTTTGGGCGGTGCGAGAAGGAGCTAAAAACGCCCTATTTTTTAGACCAAAAGGGTCCGGACAAGGCAATAAGCTCCCCCCCTCCCCTTCAAAACCCATCCTTCCACGCCCCTAAAAAAGCGAACCTTGTCCCCAGGCGCCAGGCCTCGGACGAGCAGCAGCTGCAGACGGAGCTACGGGAGGCACTTGGAGTTGGGCGGTTGGGCCCGGCTGGGGGTGGTGGGAGGTGGGGAAGCCAAACTGTTCCCGGGATTGATTCACTGGGGGAATATGATAAAGTTTAATCTGGGTTCAGCACTAAGTACCCCAGATCCCAGGCGCCTAGGGCCTTCCTTTGAAAACCCTTTGAAAGGGACCCTCTGCCTTTCCTTTTGCAGGCCGGTGCCCGTGCGTTTCAGCAAATTTTGTCGGGGCCCCCGAATGTTAGGACAAGCCCATGTGAGGTTTAATCGAAATGTCCTGATTTGTCTATGATTTATTTGCGCATCGGGGCATGCTGGACGAGCTATAGATTTCCCTTACAACAAACAGGCAGCAAGCTATGTCCTGAGGAACACGTGACTTTGACGAATTTCTGTGGGTATGTGTATCAGAATGTGGGGGGGGGGGGCAGAAGATGAGACTAGTATCCCTTGGGTTTGCTTCGCGGGAGGTCAAAAACCACGAAGGCGGGGACCCACTTGAACCTCGGTTCAGCAAGCCTTCGAAAGGGCCAAGCTGTCCAGAAAAATCCGTCGCGAGAGTTCCCCGAAAGGGGTGGCGTTTTGATACCGGATGGTTGCAAAATCCTCTTAGGCACCAGCTAAGAAACCTCGGCTTTTGATGATTCCCTGTAAACACCAAAGAATGTTTCAACCATGGTTTCTTAGGTGGTGCGAAGTGGATTCTGTCCATCCACTGTATTAATTCTGGGGCAAAGTGTTCACTTGATCTTAAAGTCTTATTTTTCATGATGTTTCGCGGGGACAATTTTGGGATGCCCTGAAGTTGTCTGAAGACCGAGTTGAAGACGGCCGGGGCCCAACAGGTGAGCCTATTCTCAAACGGGCGGAGAAATGGTGACTCAGTTGCAACCAAAGCGAAACGAAGTTTTGACCTTTTGGTGCTCCATGCTTGGCCCATTTTTTGGATATGGCCTCAAAGTTAACGTCCAATCCCCAAAAGAAGAGCCTTGCTTTCGACTTTCAAACCTTGCCGGACAAGGAGACGAGCAACGGGGCGGGAACCGTCTTGTGATTCATCCGCGTGAATTCTCCAGCACTCCCTATCTAACATGAGGGGCGTGACCTCTGGAATTCCATTTCTGGTTGCATTTTCCCTTCGGGAAATACTAAATAAGTGGCTTGGACGGTCCCAAGCACCGCTTATTGTTTTGAACGTTTGGGGGGGGGGGGGGCTTCGCTGACGCTCCATAAGTTCTCAAGATGAGCTGCCTAAACCTGGGCCATTGGAGGCAGTAATTGAAGCCATGGTCGATACCTGGAGTCTCCCTAAGGACCCTTTGAAAATGGTTGGTCATTCTCCAAAATGATTAAAGGGGTCAAGGACGGGCACACGCCACGAGGTTTTGGTCTGGACGCAGACTCCTTAAGCAAAAAGGGTCGGCCTCTTTTTTCAGGGCAGTCTTGAGAAGGACGTTTTCATGGCGGAAACGACGCGAATTTGGCCACGTAGTCCAATTCCTTTTAGTGGGACTCAGACCACCCCTGTTGATAGGGCTGTGAATCTGATGCCTTCAAAAACTACGTCACCCATGTTTCGCTGGACCATGTATTGTTCCCTTGCACATTGGGGTCAAAAATTCCCTGACCCACTTTAGGCATACATGGGTGTGGCTCTTTTAGGGAACCCCCCCCCCCCCAAAAAAAAGGGCGGATCTTCCTTGTGGTGTGCCCGTAAACAACCAACAACAAGGGGGTACCAACTCAAAATCGACGCCCCCCCCCCCGTGCCAGATTTGCTCTTGATGGCCTGCTTGGATCGGAAATCGCCGGCTGGCTCAAAAAGGCAGAGCCGCGCAAGCTGAGGGCCATCAAACCACACAGCAAAACGGTATCCTCAAAAAGGAGAGGCCCAAGTGACCATGGGGAATGGTGGATGAACATCCATTTACCACCGATTTTCATGCTTACCAGGGGAACCGGATTTTGACCCACCGCCAAATGACCCCACTGTAGGCGGCTTGCCAAACGAGGGCCTCGTTGGAGGGTCTCATCAAGCACCTCAAACATGCAGCGTGAAATTGGCGTCATGAGGGTCGCAGAAAAAGTGCCCTCTGTTATGCATGACCAAATATGACCAAACAGCACCCGGCTTCGGACACGGCCTAGAATTCATCTAGCGCCCCATTCGCGGCCCTTCAACCCTGGTCACCAGAAGTTTTCGCCCCCGCAAACCTTTGGGCCAGGAACCACCCAGGAACCACCCCCCAGCCTCGGCACTTTTTCGCGCCGCCTTTTGCAAGATGGGCTTTCCCGCAGATGCGGATGTGCCTGCGGATGCTGCGGACGCCACGAAGCTTGTTTTCACCACGCCCCTCGGTTTGTTGCCAGCTTGTTGCGAGTTTCTGGATGAGGTCGACGTTAGAAATGCCCCGAGTACGGGATGGAATGGTTGTCCGAAAAGAGGGGTGTAAGGTGTAACCCAACTACTGCGCAACTCACTCCCTGAGTTCCTGGACTTCAGTCACTTTTTGCATAGCCTTGCCCCAAAACCGAAGGGGATGAATATGCTATATATGCCAGGATGGTCATTCGCCTGGTAGTAAGGATCCTCAACAATGGACGTAATGATTCCTTCTTTCAGGGAAAAAGGAGTTTTAACCATGGCACATATGTTTTTTTCTACCAGAAACAACAGGTTGGAGTGGGATGGCAGATTGGGTTTTCGACAGAGCCGTTTTTCAAGGAAACGCATGAACACTACAAAACAGTGCGCAGTGCTTGTACCATTTTTGTATTTTCCGGGGCCAGGATGAACCAGAGGGGGGTTTGCGAGATTCTGAAGGGGGAGTACCCTTTACGAGCTTATCAAACCTTCTTTGTTTGTAAGCAAACAGTACAGGAATCTGTTTCCGGCTAGCCTTGAAAAGAAGTATGAAAGGAGTTAGCATTGGCAAAAGTACTGGCAATAGCGGTGGGAATTGGACGTTTTTTTGGGGTACTTTTTGAATGTTGGGCCGGAAGGCACGTCTTTAGTCAGAGGGGGCTCTGGAAGGTGCCCCCAACAATTTGAGAGGGTTTTTGGCCAAGCCTTGGTGGCACCTTTAAAGTGGTACTGGCTGGCAGTGGGCTGGTAAAACCGGGGGTTCACCAGTCAAGTGCTAAGACTTTTGTGTGCCCAGTAAAAGCAAATGAGAAGCCACAAGTTTGGTTTTGCGGGTCAAAGGGCCCAGGCAGCTGCAACGCACAGCCAGAAGTTTTGCTGCGCCCGGACCGGCCGACACACGCGTTGTTTCCTTTGAGAGGAAACCAAAAAGAACCTACTTTTTTACGGGGCCTACCTACTTTGCGAAGCTTGGTCAGTTTTAAGTCTCTACTTGCCGGGAGAGAACTCCCCCCGAATGCATCCACAAAAACTTGGTGGCTCCCAGCCATCCCCTTAGCCTTTTAGCTTTTTTGTGCTTAGTGGTAGTTTCCATTTAACCCACTAAAAGTTAAAGTTTTAGCAAGGGATCTAAGGGCAGCCCAGTCAGACAAGAGGGGGCCACGCGCTGTTGTGAGGGAGAATCCGAAGGAAAACCGCTGAATCCATTTCGGGGTTCCGATTCCTTTCAGACAAAACCACGTTTCTAGAGGTTGATTCCCCATTCTTTTCAGCCATCGTTCTTTTCAATAACCGGCTTTTTCCGGGGTTTCCGGGGGTTTTCCAGAAAGAAGGATGCCTGAAAAGAATGGACCTGGAAGGTCCCCAGATTACTGGCTGTCAGACCTTGACGAAAAACTGCACGACACAACGCGAAAAACGTAAAAAAGGGCCATACTGTGGTGGCGACATCCGCTTCGCACCGTTCAGAAACCCTGTTCCCAACAAAAGGCAGGGTTTCATTCAACCGTGCCTGGATCGCCAGTTGCTGTTTTTTTTTGTCCCATGCACAAAAACCCCCAAAAACGATCGCAGTGCGAGCAGTGGCTATAAAATTTGCGATCCCAACTTGATGCTAAGTGGCTCAACTGATTTCGGTGCCAGACTCGCGGAGGTCGCCAAATGTGACACCGATCGATTTGTGGAGGTCTCCACAAATCGATCGGAAGCCGATCTTCGGATCTCAGGCTCCCTTGGGATGGGCACCAGCGTTTCGCCAGCCCAAGGCGCTTCGCCGAATCCCGTGCTCTCCCTTAAAAAAGGTGCAAGTGGCGTCTCTTTGTTTTTTGGCGGTGTACCTCGTTCAGGTTGGTTTTAACAGCAAGGTTGTCCTTTGGTTTGGGGGTCCCCTACAAAAAGACAAGCCACCCAAATGTCTTCGTGCGTATTTGAAGGCCACCCTGTTTGTTTATGGCTTTAGAGGCAAGCCAAAAGGAAAACCTCGATTCTGCCGGTCCCCAAAAAAAGACGAGCCACCCAAATGGCTTCGTGTGTGTGTGTGTCTTTCAGGGTACCTCTTTCAGGTGCTTAAAGGGAGATCTGTTCAGGAGGACCATCATTTTGCAGGTCAGATACCGATAGTCAACATGCCAGACTTGCCCTTCCACGATGCCATGGCACCTGACAGGGGTTTGAAGACAAAAAATCGATCTTCCAGGTACCCTCACACAGGTTTGCCAACCTCTGTTACTTTTGTGAATTTGGGTGTTTCTTCTGGGTGTGATGGGCAAAGAAGTTCAGATGGACTTGGACTGAATGTCCTCAAACGGTCTGTCATTTTTGCGGGTACCCCCCTTTGTTGTGGTTTTCAAGGGAAACTAAGAGGCGCCATTTTGAGGGGGCCGATTCCTAACCCAATGGCCCGAAACCCAGCCCAAGCCAACTAGACCACCCCTAAACCAATCCAAACCTACCGTTCAGCGCAGTTGCAAAAAGGCTTCGGCCACAACGAAGAGAAGTGTTAGAAAGAAAGGGGGGGTTCAAAAAGAAGGGCGGAGGGTTTAAGAAGGGGGTTGTTTTTATCAGGGAAGATGAGCAAAAGGTAAGGTTTGCAAGGTTCGCGGGTTCAACAAAGGCTCTCCCTTCGGAATGCATTTGACTTCAGAAAAGGCGCCCGGAAAGAATTAGCCTGTTTTTGCATTGCAGACGCGGGAGTCACGTCACTTGGCTTGAGAAGTGACAAAACTCAAATGAAATCCGGCGAAACATGGCAGCCAAGTTGCCTTCCGAGTCATGTTGTGTTCGTCCACGACAACCACAACGAACATACCCACTAAAACCACAAGCAAAGTCTTGAAGTTCAACTACCCACGAAAACCACAACTTGGGCTTCTGTTTGGTTAAACATATTTTTAATTTCCCCTGTTGGTGTTAAAGGGATTCGATTTCACTACTGGAAATATGTTGTTTATTATTTTTCCCAGGCGACTTCTCAGCAAACGGAGGTTTTGGGCTGGATTTGATTGGCCCAATCACTGCTTCCATGTGGTTAAGAATATGGTTAATTCTCCCCTGTCGGTTAACTTAAGCAAATGGAGGTGGGGGCTCGTCCCTGAAGTTTCGGGCAGCGCCTCGGCGCCTCGTTTCTCGTCTCCAGGCCCTACTTCCAGCGCCTGCGCCGCGACGCGGCGCGCCTGGGCATCCCCTGGAAGGAGAGCTGATGCTTTGGACCCACACGCGAGAGATGACCAGGGAGCGAAGGGCCCTAGGTGTTTCTTCATGGAAATCGTTGTTGTGATGTTGTTGTTTTGGTTGTTTGTTTTTCCGGGAGAAAAAGAAAGAAAAAAGACAAAACGACATCTGGGAGTTGCTGATGTTTTTGTTTGAGCCATATCTCTTTGTTGTGCCTGTGTTTGTTTCCAAAAAAATGGGGGGGGGGGGTGCTTGAAAAAATGGGGAACAGGGCCTGTGAACTGCAAGAGTTGGGACCACGAATTCATAACAGGGGTTATGAAGCGGGACCCGACCCGCCGAAGTCTGAGGTAAAGTGGTCCCCCAGCGAAAGGGTGCCCTTTCTTTTACCCACTTTTTTTGGGTTGGGAGGGCTCCCCTACTAAAAAAGACAGAAACAAGTTGGTACCAACTCATTCTAACCTCTCTACGGGAGCTTCAAAGGGCCCATAGTCAAATGTCGAGCCCGAGGGGCGCCAGGTTCTTCCGCTAAAACCCGACCGATTTGAGGAGAAACCGATATATGAGAGTTGTTGGAAATCGGGGACCTTGAAAGGGAAAATCAACCCTTCCTGCAGGGGGCAGGCCTGGGATTTTTCTCACCAAAAACCCGATTTCAAGAGCGCTTGGCATACAATAAACTCTACAAAGGACGCCGGCGTGCCAACAAGTTCAGCGTTTGTCACGGTTGCTCATGCTGGCTGACAGTTTCCAACTCCGTACCGACTTGGCGGCGTGGTCGACTGCCCGCAATCGTCCACAGCTTCAGGATTCGTTTGCGTTTATTGGGTTTCACCACCTTCGCGGAGCACGCGAAGCACCTCGTTGCGCTGACGCGCAAGCCAAAGAAGCGCTTGGCAATTACCAGCACGTGGCTCAGATCGGCACGTTCACAGCCACATCGTTAGCGGCCGCCGCGCACCATGTCAATCCCGATGCTTGGTATGGGGTCTAGGTCCCCCAGTCTTTTTTCGGGGAGGGTTCCCCCACTAAAATAGACTACAGAAAAAGGGTACCCTTATTCTGACCTCTCTACTGGAGGACCCAGTTTGTATGGGGTTGCTTCAAACAAGTTTGAGAGAATTGTCCAAATCAGAGGAAGGAGGGAAAAGATGAAAAGGCAGCGGGGCAAGGCGAAAGGCAACACTCTCTGCATGGTTTTGATCATTTACGAGTGGGACCTAGCGTTGCCCAAAAGGAACAACTTGTGTTGTCTCAACACAACCCCAAGAATGGTTGGTTTCCCTTCAAAACCAACAAGGGGGCACTCTAAAACAGACAACCACGGGCTGGCAAGAGAAGGCTGAGTCTGTTGGGGAAAAGCGCAGATAGGGACATGCAAAGAGAAGAAAGAGAAGGCACAGATGGCACAGGAAGCGAGGGATGGCAAGAAGCTGTTATACTCACTGCCTTTGCTTCCGGACTTTGTTTTTTTGGGCGTGCACTATTTTAGTGGTAAAGTTTGGACATGTTTCGGCCAATCTGCTCAGGAAGTGAGAGTACTTTCTGATGTGTTCGATTTGACCGGCGTGTGTGTGTTTTTTGCTTAAGTATATACACCCGTATATCAAACAAAAATGGCAAAGACTGCGTGAAAAAAATGATAAGCTGCTTGCGGTGGGTTACAACTGACCAACCAGCCGCAACATGGCGGGATAACATTGGACATTGCCAATCATGTAAAGATGGTGGGGGGGGGGGTTTTCATGCGGACAATGTCTGCAACCTGTGCACGGCATATGGCGGTGCAGCAGGCTGGTCTGTCGCGAGGCCTTGTTTGACCTCAGAAAGGTCTGCAGGGATCATTACTCCGCCGGACCGGGCGATTCAGGGTGAAGCTCGGTATCGAGCGCGCGAAGTGTGGAGCCTTGAATGGCCACACAAATGCCCGAAAGCGGGGTATGGATGCGGAAGCTGGTGCGATCCAATCCAGTCAAAAACGTGCAAGGGCACCGAGGACCGTTGACAAGGCACGTACCAGTGTCCGGATGAACCGGACCCGTGCAGCGACAGTGAGCTGTCCCATCTGCGCTGGTGCAATGTATGCAGCATTCGTCCAGCGCTCGCCTTCAGGCGGATGCGGAAATCCTGCCAGATGCACCACCAGAGCCAGCTCTATCCAAGAAAGTTGCATTGACATTGAACCATCAGCGCCCTCCCGGGAGAGCCAATCCAAGAAGCGCATCACAAAAATGGTGCCGAATTTCACAGCTGCTCCTGATTCGCTCCAAGCAGGGTGCCAGTTGAGGGGAACTTCTTCAGCGCAGTGGCCACGGGAAATTGTAAACGCGCAAAGTCCGTCTCGTCGGGTACAGCCCCGGAATCTCCGTCCTGAGCGGATGCCTGCAAGGCTGCCAACTCAAGATGGAAGGCGTCGAAGAGTATTGGCCGAATCAAAGCGCGCGACCTTACACAAACCCCAGACCCACCAAACAAACGCTGAACGACCACGCTGGGCCTCACGAGCGGCCTCCTCGGTGGCTGCATTCCAGAAAAAATCCACTCGTGGCATGTGGCTGTCCCTGGTGGACGGCTGATGGACTGGAACGTGCTGGATTTGTATGCTGCCGGAGGCAGATGGTTTCAGAAGGCCTTGAAGGTCACTCCAGAGGTCCGAATTGCGTCGGTACATCAAGAAGCGCTGCAAACGCGCATGCAACGTATGTGCTGGCCGTCCAAATTGTACCGCGCGCGTGGTGAGAGGAAAGCCAGGATGCTGCTGTGGTCACTGCGGCGGTCAGCTCTGCACGATTAATATCTTGAGTGGAGCCCACCCAGAGGACCTGAGGCCAGCGTAGCAGAGTGTTGCACCAAAACAACTGCCGATGCAGCGGTAGCCGTGCATTGAGTCGGATCCAAACAGCTGCCGTCTGTAAGCAGATCGAGCTCCGGCTGGTTGGTGGAAAAGGCATGTCTCAACGCCCGCTCATAGGGGTTGGCGCATGGAAGCAAATGCTCTTGCACGAGACAGGCATCATTGAGGAGATCCACAGGTAGATCGCAATGATCCACAAGCAACGGCGGCATCATTGAGGAGATCCACAGGTAGATCGCAATGATCCACAAGCAACGGCGGGGTCACAATACGCCAGCGTAGCAAAGCGCACTGCTCAACCAGTTTTCTGACGGGGCTTGAGTAAAAGAGGTCGACGATGCGGGGCTGCCTGCGCAAGAATCTACGAAAGTCATCGCCTCCTGTGTGTTGGAAGGCTTGCCCCGTCCTGTGTGAGCGGATCCAGCAGGGAACGACCAGCATTGACGGTCAAGGGCCAAGAACATGAAATGGGCTGATTCCAGATTACAAGTCCAAGCAGGTAGGCAGGTGCGCAATCACGATGGTGCCACAGTTCAATTTGTTGGCGTCTGTGGTCCGCAAAGCCATCGTAGCTGGAGACATGTAGCTTGTTGCCGTGAAAGCAAAGAATCAGGAGCACCCGATGCCCATCACAACGGACAATGCCAGCGGTCTGTTCTCCCGGGAGCGGGATCATAGTGGAAAGACCCGCTGAACATCGAAGGGGATGTAGAGCAATTGTATGTGAGAAAAAACCCGCTCGTCCTCCGGACCACATCGAAGAGCGAGGTGCTCCACCAAAGTCGGTGGTGCGGCCGAGTGGTCGCCTGGTTTTTTTGGATGTGCCGGAGTGTGCACGGGCCGAAACAGCCCGCGGGTTGGACTGCGATTTGGGCCACATTGAGGAGTCGTGTTGCTGCGCAAGGATTTGGTCCTGGTACTGCATGAGAAGCTGCACGAGTTCCGGCAAGGTGTTCTCATCAAAGTGCTGATCAGTTGATTTGATCAAGTGCGAATATACCCATAAACTCTGCAGGGGCGGCAGATTGGCCCAGCAGAGGGAGCGCTCGTCCGGGCTTCATGTGCTGGTTGAGCGAAAAGGTAGGCGTGAAGAAAACGAATTGGGCCTCCGGCTTCCACCCGAATACCAAAGCCTCGGATCCCCTTGTTGGCCAGCCGATGGGATGAAACCCCTGGGATCTGCAACCACATTGGACTGAAGTAGATGGCCTCCTCCTCACTGCTGAACGTCAGAACTGAGGTCCAAGTGGGTCTGTGCAATCTGCCATCCCATGACCAGTGCAAAGTCTTCCAGCGCGGCTTGCAATCTATGATTGTGGCCGCTTGTACGCACTCCAGGATGAACGCCGCACCTTGATGCAAAATGGCAGCCCGAAGCACAGCCCAAAAAGGGCGGGTGCGATCATCGTCAAACTGCAGTCCACTGCGGCCTGTGGCCCACCTACTTGGTGCCAATTCAGCATGTCCTTGTCGTTGGTGACGCTAGGCGCTGACAGGCCAATGCATTGATATCCAGCGCGGCATGTGCTGTTGCCCCAATGCCTGCGCAGAGTTCCTCAATCCCAAGAAGGATCCCGCAGAGTCCTCCGATGGGCTCAAAAGGGACCCGTCCGTCTGATGGACGTCGAAGAAGTACAAGGCGACCCGGCGACCCAGGGGCAAGCTTGCATGGACCTCAACATGCATGTCGGAGCCAATAGTGCCCTGCTTTGCCAGTTGCATCGTACCAACCACTCCGGTGAACCCACGGTCTGTCCACGGGCAGCACCACCGAGACCGATCCATGGCTAATCCCTCCCCGACGCTCAGCTGTCCCACTGTGGATGGACAAAATCTTGCACCACCTAAGAAACGATGGGAAACCATTGTTTGTTGGTATTTAAGAGAGAATCGAATCATTCCAGGTTTTTTTGGTGGTTAAGAGGATTTGGCAACCATCCACGGTAGGGCCACACATGGCCATGGGACAAAATCCAAATCGTACCCCACGTGAACATCCCAACGCCCACTAAAATCGGTTCTAAAATGGGTTGGTCCCAAAACGGTTTTGACCACAGCCACATGGATTTTGGCGGCGATCCCAGGAGGATTTTGTTTCGCAGCTGCAAAGCGCCCTGCACACGAGCCTGCAATCGGCGCCCAGCTGCTTGGGATTGGGTTTCGGGGCTCGGGGCCTCGTCTGTAGCGATGTGACCCCCTAAGAGGGCCTTGTAGTGTGTATACCTGGAGTCTCCTTCTGACCCCTACTTGACTGCTGGGTTGGATCTTTAGACTTTAACTTTTGGGTTGAAATCAAGTTGGGTGTTTTCACTAAACCCCCAAAAAGTTATTCACCTTTTGCAGGGGGGTACACAGAAACCAAGCCTAGAAAACAGGGTCATCACCCCTTGATTTTGGGTAATGACCGACAACTTTTAAAGGGTCGTGCACGCTCCAGGTAGCTGCCACTTCGGAGAGATTTCAGATCGCAAGCAGGACCTCAGACCGTTCGGAAAACAAACGACCTTCCCATTACACAAACACAGGTCAGACCTTTTTGTTTTCTTCTAAATGCTGGGAGCTACCCATTTAGGAGTGGGCACAATACTTAGGGAGTGGCATCTTGGAAGCCTTGAAGTGAGTGCATCAAAACCTCAGACTACCATGAACCACAAAAACCGATGAACATGTTTTTAGAGACTCAAGAAAGCACTATTTTTTGTCAGGATACGACATTTTTGCAGGTTCTTGAAGCCCTGGGTAAAACAATTCACCAACAATTGTCACATGCCCACATGTCCTTGGATATCCCTAACCAAGCTTGACTTTCCAATCCTTGCCCCCGACTCACGGAAGGAACTCTTCCATTTTCAGCAATTAGTTGGGGTAAGGACCTCCTTTTGGAGTCTTTCTTAATTTCGGCGTTTCTTTTTTGACGCTACCCTTTCTTGGTAGTTTTACAGGGAACCCCAAAGAAAAACCACCATTTTAGGGTAAGACCCCCATCTTTAGGGAGTGGCATGCGTTGGAAATGACCTTCCTTGACACCCCCATGATTGTCCGATGTGGCCGTTCAGGTGTTGGAACCAAACACCAGCCCTTTCGGTTGGTTGTAAAATCCCAGTGGGTTTGGGCCCATTTTTTGAGGAACGGGAAGCCAAGAGGAAACCGAAGCCCAGAAAGTGAGGGGCGCAAGTCGTTGGTTTCGAAACAAACCCAAAGCACCACACGGAACCAAACGGAATCCCTCTCGGTTGGGTTTTTGGGGGCAGCCCGTTTTTTGGTTGGTTTGAGGTTTGAGGGGGGTACCCACCCACCCCTTTTTGGGTTGAGTTGGGGGTTGGGGTGGAGATGGGTGGCGGAGTTGAGGCGGAGATTTGTGTGTTGGAGTTGACCGGCTTTTTGGGGGCTTCCGTTTGGTTTTTCTTATTTTCCCCTGTTGGTTTTAAAGGGAATCTATCACTACTGGATCTTTTTCCAGGGGACTTCAGCAAATGGAGGGAGGGGAGCGCTTCTTTTTTTTGGGGGGCGAAACCCATGTTTTGGGTCTGGTTGGCTCCGATTCCCCGTAAATGAAACTACAAGGAATGGTGGCTTGTCGGCGTTTCCTTCCCTTGCCAATGCTCAGGGAATGCTTCAGGGGGAAGGAACTGGAAGGAAACCATAGATAGGTTGGAGGGGGCATTCCCTCATTGCCCGGCGCGGCGGAGGCTGCAGTTCTTGCCCACCTTCGCCCCCTGGACTGCTGCGAGTGGAGCTCACGGCCACAGGTCCGGATGACGTGCGCGCCGTGTCCGACCCGTACTGGGGTTCGAGACCCACTCGAACCGAGAATTGACCAACCCTTCCCCAGTTGCCCAGTGGTGCCCTTTTTTTTCCTTTTTTTTGGGGAAGGCTGCCCTTCAAACTCAACCAACCAAAAAAGAATGCCCTTTTTTCCCCTGGCCACTGGGCATCTGAGCTTCCTCCCCCCCAAAACAAAACCAGAGAAGGACCAGTTGCTTGCCTAGTGTTGTTTGCAGATGAGGCCTTCCAACAGGGGAAGAACCGGTTATCCCGCTTCACTGTTGTTTGTGCGTTTAAGTTGGTATTGGGTTCTTGGTTTGTTGGTAGGGGGCTCCAAAAAAACAGTCGGTGTCTTGCAAGCCCATACCGTTTGGGTTGGACAGCCCAGTTAAACTTCACATGCCAAATGTTGCCAGGGGTTGGGGGGTTGCTCCTTCCTTTGAAACATGACCAAATCTCATAGGACTTCCGGGCCCCTTTTTCCAGACACTGACATGGACCTGAGAAGCAGGCCTTAAGACGGTTGGACACCCTGTGCACTGGTGAAAAGAGAGTACAATTTTTACAGGCCCCAGGCTCTAGCAGGCCCTCAGTGCAACTATTTAAGAAGCTGGTTTATTTTAGGCCGCCCTTTTTGTGGTTTGCTGAAAGGCTAGGTCCCCCAGTAGTGCCCTTTTTAACCCCTTTTTTGGTTGGAAGGGCTTCCCTTATACAAAAGATATATTTTTAAAAAAAAAAAATGGTACCAACTTATTCTAGTCTCAAGCCACTGGAGGACCTAGTCAGGGAAACCACCAGGAAAACCGATCGATTTTTTTGGGGTTGGGTGCCCAGGGGCTGAGTGCAGAGGCCTTGTCCAAGCCATGGCTTCAAAGTTCGGAGTTGGTCGGGAGCAAAACTGGCAGGTGAGTCATACTGTGGATGGTTGCGATCTCTGCTTCTCGCACCGCCTGAGAAACTGTGAGAAAAAGAACCAACTGTTTGTTAGTATTTAGGGGCGGTATTTGTTAGTATTTAGGGCCTAACACTGTTTGTTTGTTAGTATTTACAGGGAATCCGACCATTCCAGGGCTTCTTAGGTGGTGCGAGAAGCGGATTTTGTCCGTCCACAGTACCCCTAAGAGCAGAAGGAAAAGCGGCAGGTAGCCTCCCCCAATTCCATGGAAGCTCCCAGCCCGAAACGGAAGACTTGGCCTCCAGAGAACTTGATGCCGAAAAAATGGGTGATTGACCCCGTCCTATTTTTTTGAGGGGGGCCGCCAAGAGTGGTCTGATTCCCGATTCCCCGCACCCAGGCACACCTTCCTATGAATAAACTAGGGGGGTGGATGAAATCTGGGGTTCCCGCGACAGGTTCCGACTCTTGACTCGCCGTTTTTAGGCCGAATCCGACCAAAGCAGAAGGAGTCCACAACTGGGTTGCCATGCTGCTGATACGGCCACAGCCCGGCCCTGCAAAGCCCATGGACCCCCCCGCCCCGGTTCCAAGTTCGACCTCCATCTTCCAAGATACTAAGCTGGTGGTTGTTTGTGGCGCGGCATACCTCCAAGCCATCTGAAGCAACTTGGAACTGAGCTTATGCCTCGAGCAAACAAGAGCCTAAGATTGATCAAGGCTAGCAAGTTGGCGAGCGATCGCCTTCCGGTGTTCCTTTGGGCGCGAATGTTCTATAAGACCGGATCGTTTCGGTAAGAGCAACCTTGAAGGGAAGAGCTCCAGAAGATTCGAATAACTTGAATCTTACACCAGCTTGGCCCACAAATGTTGTTTCCTTCATGACCTTGCCAGTCATTGATCAGTGGATCCTAGGAACCTGCAATAGCCGGGAATCAGCATGAGCAACTGACAAAACTGTGCTGTTGTTTCACAGGGATCCTAGGGTACATTTGGGGTCAAACTCTATGTTCATCGCTTTCAAGGAGCCGAATCACGATTTGTGCGCAGGTTGTTGGATGTCTCATAGAGAAACGGGGGGAACATACCGACCTCGCGAAGTCGAATCCGAGCAACTTGAATCAGGGGAGGTGACGACCAGTCTCCGCGCCATGCAAACGCCGCCGCCAGAGCCCTGGCAGGCGCGATTCCATGCTGGTAGATCAACAGGGGGTAGCTGAGAGCTTAGAGTCCCAGTTCCTGAAGTGACGTAGCTCGGTTCTAACTGCCCATGGCAAGGTCCCCCGCCCAGAGTGACCAGGGTGACCACAACTGGAAGCACCAGTTTGGCGCACCACAAGTGCAAGAAAAGGTTTGGGTCCAACTGGAAGTGCCTCTCGGAGGGATGGCCCATGTTTAGTGCAAAAGGAAACCAAAAGGGGCCAGGGCCACCCAACGGCGGGCAAAACTGGCCCCAAAATCGTCTGAATACTGTGGATGGACGAAATCCATTTCGCACCACCGAGGAAACGAATGGGAAAAACCATTGTTTGCTGGTATTTGCAGGGGAAGAAGCATCATTCCATGGTTGTTGTTGGGAAACATTTTACATTGTTGCTTATTGTGGTTTAGTGGGAAATCCAGACTTAACTACTAAAATTTAAATTGTTGCTCCCCTTTCAACGTCAACCAAGATTCCAGGGTTTCTCAAATGGCGCATCGTCCATCCATAGGAGGGTCACCTCACAAACCGTTCGATAGCCGGTGGTTCTGGGGATGGGCCGTTTGTTTTTGGTTTCCCAAGACCCCATCTTTGTACCACCCAGGTTTAGTTCGGCCACTTGGTCGAGTGGCCGGATGAACATGTTTTCCGGCGTCAAGTCCTTTGCCAGCGCCGCAAGCGAGGGCCGGTGTCGCTTTCCTTTTGTCTTCCCTTTAGCAACAACTTGTCGCTTTTTGCGGGGTCTCAGTCCGGCCAAGCAGTGCGGTTTGTTTTGGGGGGGAGGGTCTGTTGGCTTTCATTTCAACCTCGCGAAAACTTGAGGAAAACATACGCGGCAAGACTTGTTGCGTCAAAACCAGTTTGACTTGACTGACCCCTTGTGGGCCGAGTGCGAGAGAAGAAAGACAACATGAACCCAAATCATTGGGCGGCAAAGCTCTTACATACGACGGGTGTTTGCTGAAATGGGATGCCCTTGGAGAGGATTCAAATGTCCTATCTCATTGAAAGTTTTAATCCGAATCCTTCGATCAGAGCCCATTCTAAGAGCTTCTAAGCACCTTTCCTGCGGAGAGAGAGAGAGAGAGAGGTGCAGGGGAATTGATTTGCACCCAGAATGCGGCCCGACAAAGTACATGGGCAGTCTGCAAAGGGCAGTGGATTGCTTTCGGAGCTATGCCGCGCATGTCCATAAAACAGTCCGGCAAGTTATTCGCGCAGGATGACGTAGATCCTCTTTTCCGCGGTGTCTATTGTATCGCAGGTGTGTGATGCTCAGAGTACACACGGAAAGGATGTCGCGAAAGCATGTTGTTCTTCCGGTTTCTGCAGGTTTGTGACTTATTGTTCACCCAAGAGGATCTGTCTGTGTGATTTCAGTTGCAAACCCTCCCTTCGCAAAGTTTGCGTTTGGTCAGACCAGGTTCATTCGCGACCGAACTTGGCCGTTGGTCAAACACAAGCCAAAAGTCAGATGGGATGTTCAGTGCGAAAGCAAGCCAAAAGGGTCTATCTTGTTGTGAGGGTGCCCTTTTTGGCGGTTTGCAGGGGAAACCCCAAAAGGTTTGGGGTGTCCCCTAAAAACTGACCCGGCAACTCTTCATTTGGTGGTGTTGGTAGTCTTGGGGCGAACTCTGCATGTGAAGTTTCATTCAGAGCCAATCCGGCAGTATTTACCAACCATGCTCCCACTGGTCAGCCCCAGACAAGGGGCCCTCCCGTTTTCGAGCGTTCGGGTCACTCGAATGGGATGTCCAAAAAAAATGCGGATTTTCGGAAGCTGCCCGAATCCTGCACCCAATTGCGCGAAAGGGATGTTACCTGGATCGCCAGTTGCGTTTTTGATTTTTTTCATGCACTTACCCCAAAAACAAGCAACAGTGACTGAAAAAAGCAGCAACTTGGCTATCTAGGTAGTTTTAATGGGGGAAAGCACAAAAAAACGCGGAACGCAGGCCTCAATTCCCAACCGCCCCGCATTTTGGGCCGGGATTCTTTGATGCGTTTTGCCTGGATGTTAGGACTTTAACTCTTTGCCAACTCGTGGGTTTTCCATCAAACCACTAGAAGTAATTCACTTTTAGCAGAGCAGATTTCGCAACCGAGGATTTGTTTTTAGACCGCTGCTTTCGCAACCGCTGGAATCGCAGGCGATCTCTCACCCCGCGCCCTGGTTTGGCAGCAGGCGCTACAGCGGGGTGTCATGTTTGTGTGGTTGTTTGTTTTGTTTTGTTTGGTTGCTTTGTTTTGTTTGCTTGTTTCTTGTTTGTTTGATTTGTGTTGTTTAGTTTAGCTTTGTTAATTTTTTTTGTTTGTTTGTTTGATTTGTGTTGTTTAGTTTAGCTTTGTTATTTTTTGTTTGTTTGTTTGTTTGATTTGTGTTGTTTAGTTTAGCTTTGTTTGTTTTGTTTGTTTCTTTCTTTCTTTCTTTCTTTCTTTCTTTCTTTCTTTCTTTCTTTCTTTCTTTCTTTCTTTCTTTTTTGCTTGCTTGTTTGCTTGTTTGTTTGATTGTTTGCTTGTTTGTTTGTTTGCTTGTTTGTTTGTTTGCTTGTTTGTTTGTTTGTTTGTGTGTGTGTCTTGTGTGTTTGTTTTATTTGTTTCTTGTTTGTTTTGTTTGTTTCTGTCTATGTTGTTTTGTTTGTTTGTTTGGTTGGTTGGTTGGTTGGTTGGTTGGTTTGGTTTGGTTTGGTTTGGTTGGTTGGTTGGTTGGTTGGTTGGTTGGTTGGTTGGTTGGTTGGTTGGTTGGTTGGTTGGTTGGTTGGTTGGTTGGTTGGTTGGTTGGTTGGTTGGTTGGTTGGTTGGTAGTTTCTTATTGTTTGTTTTGTTTCTTTGTTTTGTTTGTTTGGTTTGTTTGTTTGAAGTTGTTTGTGTGTTGTCTATTTGTTTGTGTTGTTTGTTTGTTGCTTGTTTCTTGTTTGTTTGTTTGTTTTATTTGTTTGTCTGTTTGTTGTTTGTTTCTTGTTTGACTGTTTTTGTGGCATCCCCTTGTTGGATTGAAAAGGCAAAAGTAAGTTGTTTGGTTGTCGGTTGCCATTTCCTGTCGTTCTTCAAAGGGTGTTTTGATTACAACAGCTGTAACATGTAATGCCCGTGCATCAGACCTTCGGTTCAGAGCTGTCTTGCAAGCACTGATTGAGGCAGCTTGCAGCTTGAAAGAGGGGTGGCCTATCATTTTGCATTTCGATGACAACCTGGCGGCCCGCCTCCTGGATCCGTCACGCGCGTGTCTGTACAAGCTGCGAAGGAAATCCTGGAGACCCTTGACAAAGGAGTCAATCCGCAGGACTGTACTAATCTGCGAATTGGGCCTGTCGTTTGTTTTTGCTGTACGCTTTTGGGCCGGTTGAACCTGGCCTAAAGGGAACCCAAGTGGGGGGCAGCCGAAAAACACGACGCCCGTCTGGGCACGTCCCTACGCCGTCCGTCCAGGCGCAGCGGGGCCAAGCACGGCGCCTGGGGCGCCTACCGCCACGCTATGGCCGCGGCCAGGGAGCAAAACGCGGCTCCTCGGGCAGAAGTGCAGCTTCTGCCAGACACGGGGGGGTTCCACGGGCCATTTTAGGGGTGAGCCTCACTCTTTATGGGGGTAAACCATTTTTTGGGGCTAAGCCATGTTTTGCCGTGTGTGCCATGTGTTGTTTTTTCGCCAATGCCAGAAGTTCTGGGCCACTTGGGGGTAAGCCTCACTCTATGGGGATTCGGTGGCGGATCTTTGGACTTTGACTTGGTGCGAAGGCCGCATTTTCCCGTTGGACCCACGAGAAGTCAAACTTTGTGCATTGAGTCAACAGCAACCAAGCTCAGTTGGCTGTGGGTCAAGAATGGGATAACCCGAAAATGGGTTTGCCCTGGTAAACGGAACCAAGGACTGAACCCTACGGTTTTTGTGGCGGTTCCATTTTGACCGATACCAATGGGTGGTTTGGATGGGTGGTGTTGAAATTGGATTTGAACCCCTGGTTCTTGTGGGTTCATGAGAACCACCCCGCAACCTCCATCGGCCGTTTTCCCTCACCGCTAGTGGGTTGTGTCCTTTGTTCAACTTGTTTGTTGGAGGGTTCCCTTTAAACAACTACCAAATGGACAATAAGTTGGGACCCTGTGACCACTTGGATGGTCAAGCAACTAAAGTACGTTGGCCAAGGGTGCAGTAGCTGGGGTCAGCCCCCAACCATTGTTGTCAATACAGGGTGTCCGTTCCCTTCTTGGGCGGCTGCAATTCCAAAAGATCGGGTGACATATTCTTGGCGGGGGCGTCTGTGGACGGCAAAAAGAGCACCCCTATTGGTGTCCTTGATGACTCATCCGCCTCGTGACGGTGCGCAGGTTTGTTTCTCCCGCACAGGGCGCCTGTGCTGAGGCCGTTGGCGTTCTCTAGGAGAAAAAATAGTGGGCTATTTCGAAACGAACTTTCATCATTCTGTGAATGGCGTCGGGTGTTGGGAATCAACTCAAACAAACGGCATTCTCTCATTTTTCGGTTGAGAACCAGCAAGACATGTTGACGAAACTTCTAGCACCAGTTGGGATGGATGAATCCCTACGGGATAAACCACGAATAACTGCCGATCAGCACTCTACCCCGTCCCCTTCCCCTCAACTTGGTGCACGAAGGCCGGGCGTCAACTCCAGGGTCTAACTGTGGGGAAGGCGCTGTTGGAATCGATTCCAACCTCAGTCCCAAGAGGAAAACGGGCGCAGTAGCCGCTCGGCGCGAAATCGAGAAACTAATCACTGGCCACGGTAGTTTACCACACAGTTTCCCCCTAAGTGGTGTGAAGTCCCCATGCGTCATAAAGCATAAAACCTCCATTATGTTCCGTTTCGGACGTTTTCGTCTTACTGTTTGGTTGCTCGGGCCATTTTCGTGGCAGTATGACAACAAGCTTGGCTACGTCTTTCTTTTTTTGGGCGCCAAATCCACTTTTGGGCTCGGAGCTTGTGAGCGGGTCAACAGCTTGGGGCGGCCTTTTTCGGGCCGAAGCCACTCGAAGTAAGCGGTGAGACAGTGGCTTCACCTCCGGCGAGGGAAGCAGAAAACCAAAACGGTGGATCCGAGTTTGCCCTCAGCGTCCACTTTTGGTTCAAATCGATCGAAGTCAGCCCGGGCCAGCGTTGGATATGAGCCATTCCCTTAGTGGCACTTTAAAAAGAATCCACTCGATGGGATGCGAGGAATGATGTGTTCATCCCTTTTTGGTGGCTCGCACCATTCGAGAACCGCACCATTTCAACCGCTTGGGGCCCCCGCGTTCTCGTTTGTTTTGGGTTTTTTTTGGTCGCCAGGCTGTGGGCCACTCGCCACTCGCAGCGCGCGAGACTTGTTTTTGGATCCAACTCCCAGGCTGTGGCGCTGCTCTTTCGGGAGAGCGGCGGCTTGGTGGACGGGGACCGCTGCACGCCCGTCCTGCGGCTCCACGGCTCCGAGGACGGGCGCCCAGACCCCAAACCCGTCCGGGCCAGGTTGTTTTTTTCGTGGTTCATAGTAAAGCAACCCAACAAAGGTATCCAAAAAGGAGCCAAGCAGTGGAAGGAACCACTGCAACTTGAGTGGAGATGCCATTTTAAAATGTATGAATCTGTGTATTTCAAGTAGTGGAACCACAAGTCAGCTCGGGTAGAAAAGAGCGCTCAGACGAATGTGTCAAAACATGGATTTGGACGCTCAAAATGGTGTGCCTTTTGGCTTGCTTCCCTGTGAACCAAGGTGGCATTGAAAAGCGTACCCCAAAAAACACGCTCACGCAGACACACAGACAGACAGACAGACAGACAGACAGACAGACAGACAGACAGACAGACAGAGACAGACAGACAGACAGACAGACAGACAGACAGACAGACAGACAGACAGAGACACAGACACAGACACAGACAGACACAGACACAGACACATGGCTTTGGGTAAGCCATGTTATTTTTGGTATCAAGTGTTCATGATGTGTATGGTGGATTTCACTCGTCTAAATCCAGTGACACGTGCTTAATCTATGGTTTGAACAATTCCAAACTATCGTTTGAATACCCTGTTTGTTGGTTTCCCTTCAAACGACAACACCTGCTACTGGTTTCCCTGCAAACAAAGTGGGAAACTGGTGGCTTAAACCAACTTTGCAACCAACCCTAGTTCTACCTGCCCCTCTTGTTGGAACACCAGTCAATTCCAACTGTTGGGCCTTTTTCAGGGTGCCCTCCCTCCCAGTAACATAGCACCTCCCAGGGGGTTCCTTCAAGAGGAAACTGAACTTCCAGGTACCCTCCACAGGTCCTATGTTTGCTTGACGGATGTTCCAGCACTGCCACTCTTGGAAGATTAAAGACCAGATTGCAAAATTGGCTTGAACCACCAGCTCCCCAACTCCCGGTTTCCGTGCAACCCCGCAATGCCCTTGAGGGAATAGGTGTGGTTCTGTAAGAAAGCCCGAAGGTGTGTGGTCGTGGCTTTAACCATAGAGTTTATGGACTTTAGACCTTGTGGGATCGGATAGCGTTGGTGGCAAGCAAAAACTGTGGTGACGTGTTTTGCCCCCTTTCCATATAGGGGATTTCCTGGAATGCGTGGTTTCCTTTTTGTTTCCTTTCGAATCCTAACCAAAACCTGGCGTTCCCTTGACCTTCGTCCTAAGGGTTCGATTCGCCAAGTAACGTGGCATGGGTTTTCACCCACTTGCAAGTCCCCCGTTCACTGGGACGAACATTTGGGGGGGGGGTACAACCCAAGCGACTAAGCACTTGGCAGACCCAACCCGTAAACTTCAAGCCGAATGAAAAGAACGGCCCTTGGGCCCAATGTGGATGATATAAAACTCAGGTAAATCATGGTGAAAATTTTAGCCTGGTTGTTAGCTGGTGGTGTCTGACCCAGGATTTCTCTTCACGAGCGGTTTATTTTTCGGGTTTGGGCTGGCAAGTGAACTCCAGGCTTTCTTTCGACCTATTTTTGTTTTTCCTTCCCCCCCCCTCCCCCCCCAGTGAACCAGGGGATTCTGTTGACCTTTTTTCCTCCCCCCCCCCCCCCGTTTTTTTTGGTTCTTCTGGTGTGTCCCGATGTTTTTCTCGGCCGGCAACTCTCCAAAAAGCTCCGCTTCGGCCCCAAAAGTTTCAGCGGAGAGGAGCTCCTGGTGCCCTCCGAGGCGAAGGGTTTTTCCCACCCCAAAAAGGGCCCGGGGGGGGGGGGGGGGTTTTGGGGGGGGGCAGCACAGCCTTGAAAAGGAAAGGGGGGAAAAAAAAGGCGGCCAAGAAGCAAAAGATATGCTTTTTTTTTCAGGTGCCAGAAAAGATTTCAGGAGGTTCCTCCCTTAAAAAGGGACCCGCAAGACACACTGGCCCCTAAAAAAGGGGGCTGTTTTTGTGGGGACATCTAAAGGGGTTGGGTCTTTTTTGGAGGATCCCCCTTTTTGGTTGGTTTTAAGGGGAAGCCCAAAAGGAAAACTACAATTCGTTGTTTGGGGAGGGGATCCCTAATACAAGACACACCCCTATGACAAATTTGGTGGCCAATGGACAATGCTTTAAGATTCATCCGTTGCCAAGAAGATTTGGCGAGTTGTTCTTCATGGGCGATGTTGTTTTTAAGACATGCCAAAATCGTGGCCGGCGAATATTTGGGGTGTGCTTCTCCATGTCGGTCTCCTCTAAAAATGGAATCTAAAAGAGAGCTCAACGTGGTTCTCGCTCCCTCAGTTCCGATTCGGACTTTAGTCACTTTTTGGGCTACCATTTTAGTGGGTACTTGTTTTTGGCCAATCCGCTCGATTGGGAGTGAGCGTTGGCATCGTCAATGCCTTCAATCATCCTAAGACGTTTGCGTCACCTCGCCCTTTGGGGGCAAGGAAAACCCAATTTTGCCCTAAGTCCACTTTTGGCTGGGATGAAAGTCCCGACGGGCCAACGTTGGATATGAGCCACTCCCTGCTGTGAACTTCTTTGGGGGGCTGGCAAGTCTGATGTTTCTTCCCCCCAAAAGCCACAGGAGGAAGTAGGACTGTGAAGTGACCATGTGAGAAGTGGCTCTGCCTTACGGAAACTCCCCAAATTGCGTGTCTTCTTCTCCCCTTTTTACCAGCCCTTCCCGTGGGCCGAAAAGTGTCAAAAAACACGTCAGTGGTAAATGAGTGTTCTCCACCACCAACCAGCAAACAAAAGGCCTTTTTGCGGAGTGGGGGGGGGAGGGTCGACTAAAGGCCTATACAAACCTGTCACCAGCGCAAAAGTCAGGTTTGGGGTCAAAGTGATTCCGTTTCAGGCCGGTCCCTTTTCAAGCCCTCAAACTCCTTCACCGGCAACCAAAAGTCAGCTCAGGTTTTTAACATCAGCCGCCAAAACAGGCTGCCCCTTTGTCTCGGAAATTCACTGGATGCCTGGGAAGAGCAAATCTCGGAAAGTCTCGCCAAACTCTCTATGTGAGGGTTGATCAAAAGGTCCTTTGCCTGGGATGATAGGTTTCTCCCAGCTGAGAACTTGCAGGCAGGTCTCCGGAGTGGGGAGCAGCTTGGGTAAGCTCTTTGCATGGGGCTGTTGAAGATACCTGGGAAGTGAAACTCGGTTCTCCTCCTTGCATGGTTCCAAGGACTTTGCGTGGCTGCGGGCACAGGTGTCCCTTTCAGGTGAGCAATGCATGGGATCTACTGGTTTTTCAGAGGGGTGGTAGGTCAATTTTCTCCAAACAATCACTAGATTTTACTGATTGTTGGTTGTCCACGGCTGTTCCTGGTTGTTGTTCCATGAGTTGAACCCCCATGGATTCCCCAAACGCTCCAACTTCTTTCCATTTACCAGTCTTCCCATGGATTTCCCAAACGCTCCAACGGCTCCCAGCGTTTTTTTGTTTTTTCTCCGCCGCTCGGATCCGCTCCGCGCTCCGCTTCGAGTCGGCGGCGGTGCACTCGGTGACCTGCGCCTCGCTGGGCCTCGCGCTGCGGCACCGCGCGCTGAGCCGCGACCAGCTGCTGCAGGCCGAGGCGCGCCCGGAGACCGGGAGCCGAAGCCGCAGCGAGCCGCGAGCCGGAGCGTTTGGAGAGAAATCCATGGGGGTCCAACTCATTAGAAAACAACCCTTGGAGAAAATTTGCAAAAAAAAAAAAAAAAACGACCCGACAAGCTCACCACTGGGGGAACAAGCTTACTGTCCTACTCATGAAGGTTCAATGCTAGGGTATTTCTTATTTTCAGCTGAGCGACCAAAACCCCGAAAGGGCCGTGTTTGGAGGTGGTTCTGCCTTGTTTAGCTAGGGTTGTGACCCAGACTCGTCAGCTCGGGTTTGGGGCGTTGCTCAGTCGGTTGATGTCCCTTTGGTCCTACTTGCGCACCTTAAAAGGACACACCTATTTGTACCTAGTCGTACAAGCCATGGACTAAGGGTACCCTGGATGCAACCTGCCGGTACCACCCATTATTATTCGTGTGTAACCACAGATTTTGGGGTATGCGCATTGGGGTAGGTAGAACCTAGATGATGTCCTGCCAAGATCTATATTTGTGTTTGGCAGGTGACGATGTTGGAGTACGGGAAAACCAATTCGGAAACCACGGGTACACCCATCGGTAGCCCAATCCGTAGCTGGCTTCCAGGAATTAAACCTCAATGTTCGCTGCCTGAGTTGGACGTTTTTGGGGTTTGGACAATTCTAGGGGTGGACAAATCGACTTTTCTACTGATAATATTGAGTGGGTGTGACTTTCTGGGTTGAATTTCGGCAACGAGCGTTCGCCCTTGAAGAGGGAATATCCTCCCATTTCATGAAAGTGCACGTTCGGCCCCTTCAAGACGTTTTTTTCCCCAGAAGGGGAGCCTAGAGGGCATATTCATCATGCTCGTTGAGTTGACCGAGCATTATGCCGTCAAGCCGAAGTCTAAGTCACCCAGTTCTTCACCTTTTGGCTGCCCTCGGTTTACTTGGATGTTGAATATACCAAGTATGTGCCATGGTCATCTTTGAGGCAACAGAGGTTAGTTCCCTTGGGTAGAGCCAACTTTGTGAATGAAGCAGAGTTGGCTCAATTGTCTACGTGCCCCACAAACATGAGGGGAAAATAGAAAACCTTTCAGAACCCTCACATAATTCTGTTGTTTGCGAACAGAAAAAGTCCTGGGCTTAAAAGGGGCTGGCCATGTTGTCAACAACCGACCCAGATACATTTTTGAGGGTACTCTTTTTGGCGTTGATTCAGACGGGACTGACAAATACAGAAGGACACCTGTTTGGAGCACTAGCCGAACGGATGCCAGCCATGGCAAGAGAGATTTTGGTGCGACAGCTGTCTGGGGAGGAAGACTCATTCGTAGTGTACGCCCACACGACCATCCGCGAATTCAAGAGGCAGCTGCACGCTTGGCTTCCCTGCGAAGATGAATCCAAGCGCAACATGAGCTCGGTGGAGGTTGTTGTTGGAGACAAGCACCTCTTGAACAAAGAGGAGCTAGTGTCAGAGGCCATTCCAGGTGCAGAAGTCCTAGCTTTCCTCAGCATCCAGCCGGTAGTGTGCTCAAGCTTCCAAGCCTCCGGCTGCGAAGTGAAAGATTTGTTGGTTGTGGAAATTCCCAGAGACGTGATTGCGATTGAGGATGATGCCTTCAAAGGCTGCAGCTCATTGGCAAGCGTGACCATTCCCGACTCCGTGACTGAGATTGGACACTGTGCCTTTGAAGGCTGCAGCTCATTGGCAAGCGTGACCATTCCCGACTCCTTGACTGAGGTCGGAGATGGTGTCTTTACAGACTGCAGCTCATTGGCAAGCGTGACCATTCCCAACTCCGTGAGGTATATAGGAGAATTTGCCTTCAAAGGCTGCAGCTCATTGGTAAGCGTGACCATTTCCAACTCCGTCGCCTCGATTGCAAGAGGTGCCTTTCAAGGCTGCAGCTCATTGGCAAGCGTCACCATTCCCGACTCCGTGACTGAGATTGGACACTGCGCCTTTCAAGGCTGCAGCTCATTGGTAAGCGTGACCATTTCCAACTCCGTCGCCTCGATTACAACAGGTGCCTTTGGAGACTGCAGCTCATTGGCAAGCGTGACCATTCCCGACTCCGTGACTGAGATTGGACACTCTGCCTTTGAAGGCTGCAGCTCATTGGCAAGCGTGACCATTCCCGACTCAGTGACTGAGATTCGGACTCATGCCTTTCAAGGCTGCAGATCATTGGCAAGCGTGACCATCCCCGACTCCGTGACTGAGATTGGACACTGTGCCTTTGAAGGCTGCAGCTCATTGGCAAGCGTGACCATTCCCGACTCAGTGACTGAGATTGGAAACAGTGCCTTTAGAGGCTGCAGCTCATTAGCAAGCGGACCATTCCCAACTCCGTGAGGTATATAGGAGATTATGCCTTCAAAGGCTGCAGCTCATTGGTAAGCGTGACCATTTCCAACTCCGTCGCCTCGATTGCAAGAGGTGCCTTTCAAGGCTGCAGCTCATTGGCAAGCGTCACCATTCCCGACTCCGTGACTGAGATTGGACACTGCGCCTTTCAAGGCTGCAGCTCATTGGTAAGCGTGACCATTTCCAACTCCGTCGCCTCGATTACAACAGGTGCCTTTGGAGACTGCAGCTCATTGGCAAGCGTGACCATTCCCGACTCCGTGACTGAGATTGGACACTCTGCCTTTGAAGGCTGCAGCTCATTGGCAAGCGTGACCATTCCCGACTCAGTGACTGAGATTGGGACTCATGCCTTTCAAGGCTGCAGATCATTGGCAAGCGTGACCATCCCCGACTCCGTGACTGAGATTGGACACTGTGCCTTTGAAGGCTGCAGCTCATTGGCAAGCGTGACCATTCCCCAGTCTGTGTCTGAGATTGGAAACAGTGCCTTTAGAGGCTGCAGCTCATTAGCAAGCGGACCATTCCCAACTCCGTGAGGTATATAGGAGATTATGCCTTCAAAGGCTGCAGCTCATTGGTAAGCGTGACCATTTCCAACTCCGTCGCCTCGATTGCAAGAGGTGCCTTTCAAGGCTGCAGCTCATTGGCAAGCGTCACCATTCCCGACTCCGTGACTGAGATTGGACACTGCGCCTTTGAAGGCTGCATCCTCCTTTTGGAGTCAGATGGGACATGAAGACTTTTCTAGCTTCGAGTATGGCAACAATGTTGAAAAGCTCGTTTGGGTTTGAAAAGCTAGTTTGGGTTTTCCCCAACCCCCAGTTTGTAGAACATGCGATCCCCGGGTTCCCGAATTTTGAGAGTTATACACTCCTGTTGCAGCGCGCTTGCGTGCCCGAACTTGGCGTCAAGCCCTTCAAAAGGGCGACGCTTGGCCCCGGAGCCGTTTCAGTGACATGATTGTCTAGTACGGCGCCAATAAGTAAGTGGGGGGCGGGCCAGGGCGGAAGGCATCGGAAGTTGTGTTTTTTCTTGGCAAATTATGGAAGATCAATTCAACATGGGTCGCGCCCAAACAAAGTTTCCTCTTGACTCAACAGAGGGTGGAGTTTGTGTTGAAACGCAGGGGTGATCTTTTACAGACAAGTCCGGACTTGTTTGGGACATCCTAGGTGCAACGATCCAAGGGCCCCGGATGTGCCCTGACCCAACAAGCTCACCACTGGGGAAACGAGCTTACTGTCCCACTCATGAAGGTTCAATACTAGGGTATTTCTTATTTTCAGGTGAGCGCCCAAAACCCCCGGAAGGGCCGTGTTTGGAGGTGGTTCTGCCTTGTTTAGCTAGGGTTGTGACCCAGACTCGTCAGCTCGGGTTTGGGGCGTTGCTCAGTCGGTTGATGTCCCTTTGCCTTTGGTTCTACTTGCGCACCTTAAAAGGACACACCTATTTGTACCTAGTCGTACAAGCCATGGACTAAGGGTACCCTGGATGCAACCTGCCGGTACCACCCATTATTATTCGTGTGTAACCACAGATTTTGGGGTATGCGCATTGGGGTAGGTAGAACCTAGATGATGTCCTGCCAAGATCCATATTTGTGTTTGGCAGGTAACGATGTTGGAGTATGGGGAAACCAATTCGGAAACCACGGGTACACCCACCGGTAGCCCAATCTGTAGCCGGCTTCCCAGAATTAAACCTCAATGTTCGCTGCCCAGGGCGGAGAGGGCGGGCTGAGACAGGTGCTTGAGACAGAAGAAAATGACTGGAGGGGGTAGCCTGCTTTTCATTTGTTGTTGTTTAATCTGTTTTCTTCTTTCTGTTTTTTTTTTTTTTTGGGGGGGGGGGGGGGAATGGGGGAATCCCCGAAATGAAAAAATTCAACTGTGCATTTTCGTTTAAAACCAGCCGAAAGGGGAGTACCAACCAGATTGTTGTTTGATGGGGGTGCCGTTAACTAGGAGGAACTGTGAGTTTTCAAGTGTTAGTTTCCCTAGAACTTTTAGGGTGTGTTTGTAACTAAGGGGTCGTATTTCTCTATGTTCCCGTTGATGTGGTCAAACCCCCAAATGCTAGGTGTTCAACTTTTAGTTTCCAAATAAGAACCAACCAGAAAAAGCATGGAGCTTCCTGTGGATGAAATGTCCCTGAGCCCAATTTTGGGCTGAGGAACCTGAGAGACAGGAAGTCGGTGTCCGTTTGAGGGCAAGAGCTGAGGTAGTAGAGGAACACAACACCACGAAAACTTGTTATACGGGGAGAAACCGCCAACCTACACGAAAGGGGGGTTTTGTCCATCCACAGTAGAACAAGCAACCTGTGTGTCGAAGAACAAACATCTTTTGGGTACTCCCGAACATGGTAGTTGTCCTTTTAGTTTCCCTTAAAGCAAGCCTGAAACAGGGTAATTGCCCTTCACGTAGGCAAAAAACCATTCGGATATGATTGTTAAAAGCTCGGCGCCCTTGTTGGCAATGAAGGGCAACTAAAGGAACACATGGTAACCGGACAGTACCTACCCCCCTTCCCAGTATAGGCATAGGTACTTGGGCGTTCGATCTGCCAAGTTAGTGGTTAGTAACCAGGGGTAGGCTTACAGGAAGCCAACTCCACAGAAGGGGACGCAAACAAGAAGGTTGTACCCCAGGTACTATAGCCACCAGCTACATACTGCGGATGGTCGAAATCCTGCACCACACAAGAAACCCTGGAATCATGATTCCCCAGAAAATACCAACAAATTATGGTTTCAACCGTGGTTTCTCAGGTGGTGCGATCGGATTTCGCAACCATCCAGTTCTTAGGTGGCCGCTTTGGGGCTGCTTGCTGAGGTTGACATATGTTTCGAGAACTCCAGGTGCTTCCTTGGATTCATCACGAAGAGCTAGGGTTTGGCCTACGGGCATCTACCTGTACCCACCCCTTCTGGCGGATAAGGTGGTGGTTGTGGGCAGCGGAGTGGGCTGTCGAGCGCTGAGCAGCCTGGATGGGCTGCAGCTGAAGCCAGCCGGCAGCTTGTGCCTTGGCGGGGCCAATGGGTTTCATTCCCGTCAAAACCGACAAAAAAATGTGCCCTCGTAAAATTGAGTAATAATAATTTAATAATAATAGTAATAATACAAATCATAGTTTTAGTAATAAATCTACTACTAAAAATAATAGTAATACGGCCAGCCCCTGAGGTTTGCCTGCGCCCCGAACCAACGCCCCGACACAAAAACCCTAAACCTAAACCCGAAAAAAGAACAGAAACCTAAACCCTAAAAACCCTAAACCTAAACCTTAAAACTCGAAACATAACCCTAAACCTAAACCCTGAAAACCCCAAACCTAAACCCTACCCGAATCCTAAACCCTAAAACCCTAAACCTAAAACCCTTAAAAGAAAAAACCTGCCTGCAGAAACCTAAACCCTAAAAAACCCTAATCCTAAACCCTAAAACCCTAAAACCCTAAACCTAAACCTTAAAAACCCTAAACCAAAACCCTAAAGACCTAAACCTAAAACCTAAACACCCCCAGACCTGCCTGCTACCCACGCCTTCGTGGGACCACGGCCCCACGTTCTGAAGAGAACGCAGGTCACCACGTGTCAGGTATGGCTGCACGAGTTCTGCTACTTGACTAGTAAAGGAGGCAGTCGGCATGCGCAGCACAAGGGTGGATTAGGGGGTGCCAGAAAACCACGGCAATTGGAATCGCTCTGTGCAAGTTCGAGCGAGCGTGCTGATTCGGGGGTGGGTCCCTGTCGCAAGAAAAAAGTAGTCTTCGCGGACCTCTCAGGTTTATGTTAAGGGTGAGTTGAGGTCATCCCAGTGGCAGGGGGGCTGTTGACAAGGCCAAGTGAGCCACACTCAAAACCGCATTTGGAAGGAAACCTGGCGAATCTTTTCTTTGGCAGCTTCTGAAGCACCATAGCCAAGGCCCAAACGTTTCGTCGCATTTCTGGTCAGTCAACTGAGAAGGTCAGGTCGGCGGGAAGTCTGAACGACAATTCAAACGACCTTTGCAATACCAAGGTTCATGGTGAGAAAAGGAATGGGAGCTCCAGATTAATACTCCTGGTTGTTCAATAGGTCCGCTTTGGGTAATCGTTTTGGAGGGGAACACCCCCCATAGGACCCGGTCAATCCGAGGTTGCTTTAAAAGGAGCTTCCCCAGTCTTTTCCCGCCACAAAAATCCCCCGTGGCAGGCGGGAGTACTCTTCCGACTCTAAATGATATAGACCCCGAAAACCTGGAAAAAACCTCTCCCATTTTTTCTGATTTAGGCACTCCCTTAATAAATGACTTGGACAAACCACTCAATCAGAAAGTCAAGTTTTTTCCTGCGCCCGTAAGATTGGGTTGTCAGATGTGTCAAATCCGCCTCAAAGCCACGCAGCTCGATGTCCGAGATGCACTTAGTCGGTCATAGCCAGATGCGCGCAGGATCGCGCAGGATCTGAGCGTTGGCCAGAAAGCCTTGGAAACGCCGGGCCGACAAACTCGGACAAACTGACAAGGAAAGGTCGGAAAAAATGTGTTGCAAAACTCTAAAAGACGGAAGCTCTTGGATTAAGTGGATGGGAGAATGGAAAGTCTTCCTGGAAATTCGATGAGCAGACAAACTCCGCAAAGCTTGCTGGAATAACTCGGAAAAACTGAGCAGACACACTTGAGTCGAAAAAAAAACCCGTTGTATGTGACAATGTAAGGCATGATCCCAGGTCTTTTGGACCTATCAAATTAGCTGCACCGCCGCTTGTAATTTGAATGGCAGGAGTGTGTTGCAGGAGCGGCCGCGCCAGTCAAACATGGGGCCGCGCAAGTAAAGCGCAAGTGAAGCGCAAGTGACGCAGTGATGATTCATCATCATCATCATCATCATCATCATCATCATCATCATCATCATCATCATCATCATCATCATCATCATCATCGGTCGAACGAATCCGGAAGATTGCTAAATTTTCGCGCAAGTCGCGCGCAAGTCGCGCGCAAGTCGTAGATGCCTTGGATCAGGAGTGGCCCATTTCTGTAGTTTGCATTTTCTTTGTTTCTGCAGATCCCAGCAATGAGTTGCAGCAGCCAGCAGCAGCAGCAGCCAGCAGCAGCAGCCGCAGCAGCAGCAGCCAGCAGCAGCCGCAGCAGCCAGCAGCAGCCAGCAGCAGCCAGCAGCAGCAGCAGCAGCCAGCAGCAGCAGCCAGCAGCAGCAGCCAGCAACAATTTGCAGCGGTGTACACACCTGAGACCTCATACACTTAAGGGGCATGTTTTTTCGGGGGACCTCACTCTTATGAAGACCGCCGCTTGGATTTGCAATGAAAACATCCTGGGATAACAGTTTTAATACGGGCTTTTTTTGCAGCTCACTTGGACAAACTGGTGGGACAAACGGAGATGCGAGTTGAACAAGTCTAAAACACGCTAGCAAGCTGGTCAGTGAAACCACTGGGCAGAAAAGCTTGGACCAACTCGTCACAAGCAGGAAAACTAGTTGAACAAGCGGATGCCTGTTCAAGACAACAGCGTCGCCTTCGAAGGCCTTGCCCGGCCAGCCGCACGCGAACACTTTGAGGTAGGGGCAGTCTCCGAAGGGCATCGGTAAGCTCCGGAAATCTTTTGCGCTGGTTGAAGCAACGCTCGGGGAGAACCTTTGAGCCGGGAAGTGACCATGAACCTTGCCGGGACGATTTGAGCCGTGTCGGGCTGAAGCCTTGAGGGCGGAAGCCACATTTCTGCGTTGCCAAGCCACATGGGTGCGCCATGACTGCTCCACACTTCACATAGGACGCCCTTCGTGTCCACAGTGGCTAACATCGAACTCCCCGCAAAGATGGCAGCGCAAGGAAAGCGGATCTTTGGTGCGTAAACTTCTGAGGTGTCAACGTTTAGTACCGGGACCTCGTGACCAACGAGGCCTTCACGGGGCCAACATTCGTGAGGCCGAGCGCCTTGCGCAGCTCTGGGAGCTGTGAGCTTCAATAAGCAAAACCGAGGAAGCCTCCGAGCTTGGGCAAGCGAATTGCAAACAAGAACACACGCGCAGGTCACCCTGCAGCGAAATGAATGAACAATCACGTCTGATTCGCCAAACCGGCCACTGTTTGAAGCTAGTCTGATTCGTGACTGAAGGTTTGGAGCAGAAATTCTGCGTACTTTGCGAGGATCCAGGCGTGGGCAGATTCCTCGGGCTGGCTGGCGGAAGCCCGCGCCAATCCTTGAGCTTGGCTGCGGCATGCTTGGCACGGGCCGGACAAGCTTGGAACTGCCCAGAAAAACTCTGGAACTGGCCAAAGTTGTAGCGAAAAACAAAGCAAACGGAAATGCACGGAGAACACTGGCTGGTAGAAGTGGTCGGAAAAAACGCGAAAACGGGAGCAGATCGTAAAAACTGACCGAAAGAACTCGGAAAACACCCTGGTCTTCTCAAGTTTTCTGAGCCTCAAAGTTTGTGGGTGCAATCCTTTTGCGTCCAACCCTTCAGTTTGTTTCGCATTTGCAGTTTCTCTCACGGCCAAAGGAAGGGAACCTCAAGATTCCCGGTGGACGGCCTGGAGCAAACTTGCTCAAGTTACCAAAACTCCACGGGCTGAGCCCATATTCATTTGGACCTGGAGTCTCCACAACCCTTTAAAAATTGTTGGTCCTTCCCACAATTGAGGGGGTTATGACCCCTTGTTCTAGAGTCCGGGACGCCCGGCGGGCCCTGTTTTTCAGTGTTTTGTAGCCTTGTAAAAAAAAGAAGAAATGGGCGCGAATGTCCGATTGTTCTAGGAGTCATGGAGACTCTAGGGAGTCGCTGGTTCCATGCACCTCAGTTCGGGGTCTGGAGTCGCCACAGGCACGCGCTCTGCCTCGAGGCCCTAGAGGCGCGGAATATTTGTTGTTCGATTCGACGCGACGCAAGGCGCGGATCGCATGAACATGGTTGTTGTTGGTTGAAACATTTTCCCATTTTTGATCTTGTTGTGGTTAAGTGGTTGAAATCCAAATCCACTGAACTGCTAAAATTTATGTGTTTGCTCCCCAAACCCAACGTCAACCAAGAAG